CAAGCTTAAAGCTAATTATATAACTTACTACTGCCGTGTTCATCCAATGAAATATTTATGGGAGAATAAGTTTGGGGAGAACTGAAATTCAATAGGAATTTCGTGCTGGTAAAAGTGGCAGGTGCGTAAAATGGGTTAACTTCACTACCACCACCATATGACATGAAATAAGTTATGGAAATAATCGTTACCGCAATGCGGGTTCACCTCATCGGTATTTCCATATACTGAACAATAGTTTTTTGTTGTTGTTGATGTATTCTTAATGTTATTCATATAAAACACATCTAATATTTAAATTTTTAGGATTGTAGTGATCATTGATTATTATTTTGCAATTTTTAAACGTTTATACTGTAAAAAAAGTAGATTAATTTGATTTAAAATAAATTACGTTTTTTGTCCAAGAATTACTGCATACTCTATAATCGACATGCAGTTTTTTTTGTCTGTGACCACGTGTGCAATTACTTGGCAGGTGCACCAATTTTAAGTAGTTACATTTTATACAACATGTTGCAGTTAGTAGATAATGCAAGTTGAAGATATCAATGACAATGAAACTGATGTTGTGCATTTATTTTTGTTTACTATTCAATATTGATTAACCTAATATAATTCTAGAAACAGTAATGTTAACTACAAACTTGTTATCAAACATTTTGTCGCATAGATAATTAGTAACAAATAGTCTACTTATATGACAAAGCCCTAAATGTTCATGCATTCATTCGTCTTGTTTCACTCGCATACATGGAGAAGTTCCTTATTCCTTAAAAAAAACGAAGTGCGCGTGTTTGTCTCTGGCACGTGCAGATAATATAAACAAATGCATGTTTGTATGTTTTAATTATTTAATAATAATTATTATTATACATACAAGCATCCGCATTTTATAATTATGCTCATTGCATTGTATCTATAGATAAGTTATCTATTTTAACTAGAAAATTTTAATTTTCTTTAGAATATATATATCTTAGTAACTTATCAGCAAGAAAAGATTATTTTTCTTGCATTTTTGCTGGTTCAAAGTTCATTGCGTTTAAAGGCCTTCAAACACAATGTGTAATCTTAGATCACTTTTGAATTGAAAAGGCATCATCGTTGAAATCAGCGCAGACAAAATAAAATCGATATTTGAATATGTTTGGCGAGTCTGAATAAAAAAAGTAAAGGCTGTATCTATAAAAGAATGAAACGAGCTTTATTAGCATAGTAACATCGTCTAGACATCGATCTCCATGGTGCCAAACTCCTTAGTCATCGGGAAATTAAAGAAGAAAGCTTCCAGTCATTGAGATAATAAACGCTGTCAACTTTGATAATTTAAATGAATTAAATTAATCCACAACCATTGATTTTCAATTTTCATGGATAAATCGGTCAAAAACACCTTCGAAGTTGTTCCACTCTCTTCATGTTTTCGTTCCGACTTTGTTAATTAATACAAACGAAGAGGAAGAAAAAAAAAATAAGGAAAATAAAGAAGGTGTTACAAAATAATTATGACATTGTTCCCAAGCGAATGAACCAAGAAGCAAGAACCGGACTATTTTCACATACCTTCTTTGCACGGCATTTTATTCAAATTTCATTTCATAGCCAGTGTGAGAAGAGGCGCGTGTGCGTTTCCACCTCTAACCGTAAATCGTAATAATAAAAATACGCATAACGCATTCAGTAATGTAATTAATGGAAACGTCCGTGCTAAATAAAATTGAATTTCGTTCAGCGTTTTCCGCTGGCTAAGCACTCTCGATTAAGTAATTGCAAACGTTTATCGTTGCAAAAGGCGATTGTTTCTAATTAAAGGTTGTGTATGTGCTCTCTTGTTTTTTTTTTGTTGTTGTTGTTCGATCCAATTGTTTTCTTGTTTACTGTAATTTCGTTACGTTTCTAAAAGGAGAAAATAGGTGTTGCGTTATAATATAATTGTTATTCATTCATCTTCGCTTTTAGACATTGCAAATAAGACTTAATATTATTTAATATCAGTTTACATTTGTAAATATTATTTGGTTCAATTCTATATCTTAACTCAGTTGGAACTAGGCTAAAATGATTATTTACAATTTGGAGGTTTATTTTTTTTTACTTTAGTGCAGAGGATTTAAAGTCGACAAGCTTTGGGGGTTTTTATGATGCGAATCATCCCCTCTAAGGGATTCTCTCGTCGTATAATCATAAATTAGAATTTCAGGGGCTTTACGGTGGTTCTGAATCATCCACTGAAGTGCACGTGGAAATAGATGCACAGTGGAGATCAAATGCGTGCATGTAATAAATCTAAAAAGCTCTGTCGTTAAGACTTTTATTGAATCTATTTTTGAAATTGGTATTAAGTTAGTCGGTAAAACGTATACGTGTTATTAATAAATAATGTTATGTTTAAAACTTGTCTACAAATATTAAGGTTTTTTAGTCTAAAAATAAAATTACAAAAAATTACTCAAAACTAAAGCAATTCGAGGTATGTAAACGTATTTTTTAAATCAATTTAAAAGTTGTCTATTTTGTTTGTTTCAGTTCAAAAATATATTGAACAAATTTAATTCCTTAAATAAATGGAATCTCCTTGAAAAAGCGGCTTGAACAGTTCAGTCGACCAATAACTAACACCATTGTACGTTCGTAAAAAAATTGTACGTTAGACAGAGCGGTGTTATCTAACGTTTGTTCAAAGAAATTTAACGTTCGACTGTAATTACAATCGAATAGAAAGCATCTTTTCTGTGTCACATTGAGATGATTATTTTATTTAAAACTGTTGCATTGAATAGCTAGCGATATGCTGGAACTGTTTCTCGTTAAACCGTTTGAAGCAGTCGAAAAATGCAAATGCGATCCAAAACCAAAGGCTCGGAGAACATGTTTTTGTATGTGATGGAAGGCAATAAAATATGTACACACATCTGAGTCGAGCGTATAAACTCGGACTGCGATCTTAATATCTTCCTGCTCTCGCAAACGGTGGAAACATGCCCGCAATGCTAATCGAGCGAGGAGGAATAAAGGACTCGCTCCGCGGATTCGCGAAAGCGCGAATAAAGGACAACTAAAACCGAAAGTGAGACAAGCCATTTCCATCGATCCACGCACTTTCGATATGTAAAAATAAACTAAAAATTTAGTATTAAAAGATGGAAATTTCTAAAAGCAAATTAATTCCGCTTGCTTGTTTGCCGTTTTATTTTGATTCAAGGAATATTAAATTACAAAATGACATGAATATATTTACTTGTTTTTGTAAATTGTTCAATGAAATATCATTGAATGCATTTATTGAGATAGAAAATGTAACATTATCGAATTGTAACCATCAATTTAGGTTTTCCGTAATTATTTTGTTAGTGATAATTATGTCATTTTTTTTACTAATTTTGTATCATAAAAATATCATTACAATTGAGTTTTAAAGTGAATACAAGTATTCTGGGCAATGAAATTATAAAATATGAGAATTAACAAATCTAAACAGGATTTACATTTAATGTAGAGTAAACAATAAATCACTGTTCCAATATTATCATTTTTTAGGAAAATCAAGATATGTTTATCAATAGTTTATTCATACGTGAAATCATACCTTGTAATTTTGTATCATGCATATTACAACTATCAACTATTGACTAATCATGAACAATGAATTGTTTTTACGTATTGACAGCAGTAACATTACAATTACCATATCAGATTAGTTTTAAACTGTAGCTAAATTTTCGATTTTGCTTTTGGTGCAAACTGAGGGAATAAATTGTGAAGCTTTCTATAATACATTTGATACGTTTCTGTTCCCAAGATACTTTTTCCCGCCTCCTCCGATAATGATAATTTTGTGAAAGCATACGAAATATAATATGCAGTAAATCACGAGAAGGAAAAGTGAGAAGGAGAAAAGAAACACATCTAAAAATCATGCTTGAAACACATTAAATCCTATTTATAGTGAGCAATAACCAATAATTTTCTGGAATTTGTTTATTTGACCCGAATTCTGCTGACTCTTGCGTTGCTTCTCCACAGTTTTATTTGTTTCATCTTCCAGCATCGTTCGGCAATTACACATTCCCTTCTTTCTTTTTGTTATATATATATCGCTGCTGCTGCTACTAGCTTTGCACCGCAATGTTTATTTACACGATGGTGCAGCTCCTTGTAAAAACAGAATTAGATAAATCTTTCAAACGGAAGATAAGAGCCAGAGATTAAGTGTCCACGTGTTTCTACCGAGTAAAATTTTACAGTGTAAACAATTCGTCCATCGTAAATAACAAGGCCTCTCAAAAATTGTAGATATTTCATCAATTGAACAATGTATACGTTTTTTTTTTGTTGATTTTTGTTATTATGTAAACTTGAACTATTGGAATTTCTTTCAATTTGAAACGTTTCCAACTTTAAGAAAACCCATTGCACAATGTTGTTGTATTCTGTGCAAAGTTTTAATATAATTTTATTATTTGGACGACTTCCATCTCATATTTATACAATATTGAAATATTTCATATAAAATTGCCAAGTAACTTTTCTAGTATCTTGTTTCAAATGTATTGTCTTATACTTGTCATGTACTTGTAAAAGTTATTATGATTTCATTAACAAAATTGTCAGATATTTTTCTTAATGTAGATATTTTGAACTTCTTTGCTGCAAATGTTTAAGCTATTTCACATGAATTTCAGTGATTACATCAATTTGAAAGCACTATTTTATAACATCATTTATTCCATTACTCTTAGAGTTTTGGACAATTTGTTACCATATTTTTCAATTGAATACGCATCTTGTAAGCTGATTCGCTTGATTAAGTTTTAATTGTTTTGCATGACATCATCGCCAGATCATCATCATTTTTGCTGTCTTTCTTATATATGAAACATAATCTGATTCCATGCTCATAATCATCGCAGTGTTTACGACTGCCGTCATAGACGGCGTAGATTTGTTAATTGTTGTACAACCAGTAATTGCTATATTTTTTTTTCTTGTAATTTTAGATCGATGATCGGTGAACCGACGAACTTCCAACACACTGCACACATAGGGAGCAGAGACGTAGAAATGCCCAACGATCAATTAACGGCTCTGCAGATGCAGATGCGGAGTAAAGGGGGCTACGAATCTTCGTTTAAAGTAAGTCCGCACCTGATCTAATTTCGTAATTTTTGTACGTGTGCAATCCTGAAACGAAAATCTAAAAGTTTCGGAGGAAGGTCGCAATAGCAAACCTTACGACTATAATTAATCTCTTCCATCCATGGTCCATGGCTGACCCAATTACACCAAAATGTTTATACATTAATTATATGTTGCACGAATACAGGAAATGAATACATAAATAACTACAAAAATGATGAATCAATCCTCAGAATAGATGAAAAAAGCTTATTAAAAATTGCTAGAAAATAACTCAATCTTTCTTAGTATAATAATTAAAGATACTAGGACACACTATCTGAAAAATACTAAAATTTCATTAATAATCTTTAAAAGTACAAACTAAATCACGCACAAATATTATAAAAAACTAGTAAGATTCTTTTTCTAAAACTTGTTGAAAAATGTTAAATTACATGAAGCATTCTGCAGGAAAATGTATTAGGTTCCATTGTTTATCTCATGTGCACAATAAACGTTCTAATGACAAACAGCACTAAATTGTTATCTAATAAATTATGTTATCTAATCATCCAATAATTCATGCCACAATCTCCAAAAACAGCTTTATAACTTATAAAGGGTGACAAAGACCTGAGAAATTTGTGTTAACTTAAAAACCACTTTTTAAAACTTGCACTATAAATCAAGACTTTTGTCGTTCATACATTTATTATTTATCTGCTCTGTTTAGTAGACATACGAACTAACAATAGCACAAAATTAGCAAATGCGTGAAAATTCAATATATAAATAAGCATTCAAATTCCAATCTAGTTGCTACAAAAAAAGATGAAGAAAGGTGCATTAGAATTATTATTATTAGTTAAGCTTAAGTAACTTAACATTAATTCTATATTAAGTTAATAAAACAGTATAATTTATATATTTGCATTCAAATTTGTAAACAAAAAAATTATTCAGTGTAAATTAATATTAGATAAGAAGATGATACTTTATTGGCAAATACGTGACTTGTTTGTGAAACTAAATTAAACTGCTTATTGCGAATTTCAGTTGTAATTGTCGGTCTCGCGACAAATGTTCTAAGATCCATTAATCGGATCGAAATTGATCGCTTTCTGAGCAACAATGCGATAATTTTATTGCCGTATTTCATTTGTAGGTCGTTCTGAGCGAAGTTTGCTGTAAAATTGAGGTCTATTGTGTTTCCAGACTTAATCTAGTTTAACGGCGAAAAAGATGTTTGCTCAGGATATAATCTGTTTCCTATATTAATGTGCACAGTTGGCTCGGAATCCGATGTGACATTTGGCCAGATTGCTTTTGCGAGTCGTTTCACGTTTCGCACCCCATTATTAGGGTGGATATTTTCAATTATATAGAAAAAAAATTGGATATTAATATCCAATCACTAACCGTGTGGTCGGAATTCTTCTGAAAATCAATTTCGCCGAAGAATTTAATCAATGTCGGCGTGGTTGCAATATGTCAAGTCTGATTTATTGTTTGTTTTCTATGCTAGACCTTTACAAATCATATTGTAATGTTGTAGAATTATTTATGCTATAGAGATTTGTTAGTTTGACTAATAGTGAAGTATCATTATACTGTATGCCGAGTTGCATAATTTTATGAAAAATATGATTTGTCGAAAAATTGTATTAATGTATATAAGTTACAGTGTTTATACAAGTAACAACAAAATGTATATACAAACAATTTTTTAACGACTCAATTTTAGCAGTATTGTTTAATAAATTTTACTTGTTTTTTCATTTCCTGATTTGCGAATGTTCAAACAAATATTTTTTTAATTTATCTTTTTATTTAGATAAATATTGTTATAAATTGTAACAATTACTTCATATTAAATTTTACGTTAAAAAGAATTTTACAAAAGTTAAGCAATTTGGGTTGATGACTTTATGAAATTATTTTTAATTAATAAAGAAATAAGTTTGCGTTGTTAAATACTCGACGCGAACGAAAAAGACGAGGATGAACTAAACGAATGCCAACTCTAATGTCAGTTCTTCAATTGAGTTAAGTGTGGAAGCTTTGTGTCGCCGAGAGACGCATAGAAATCAAGACGATCATGATGATGATTCACGTCCTCCGTAGAGGCAGAGTTGAATTGAGGATTAAAATTTGCGTCATTTCGTGCATCGAGTATGCGACGGACCGAACTGATTTATTCTTCGTCGTCGTCAACGCTGCGGTTTCAAGTCTGAAGGACTGCAGTGCGGAGCATCTGAATGGAATCTTGAAAACTCAAAGAAAACAAGCAAAAATGTTGCGAATTTACTAGAACGTCTCTCTGTAGTAAAGAAAAAGTCGTTCCCTTGACTTCCGTCAACGCTGAGGGAAATATGGAGGAAGGCGGCTTCGGGGAGAACCTGTTTTCTCCAATACCAAATTCTATTATACGAGCATGTTTTTATTATGCTCGTTGCATTTTATTTTTCTTTACAATTAACTAGCGGTTGACCATTTGTGACTATAATGAACGTTTTCAGTATATCCAGAATAGTCTACATCAGCGTTTCTCAACCTATGGGTCGTAGTCCAAAATTAGGTGTCGAAATGACAACTGTCACCTTGTGCCAAAGCGAAATACTATTAGCAAATGGGTCGCAGTACAACTAGAAACAAATATGTTCGATCGCGTGGCAAAATGGTTAAGATACGCTTGTTTACATACTTATATTTTGCTAGTCTTGATACTGAACGAAATAATACCTTCCTCCACATCACATTCTTTTCACTGTTCGAAATCAATTACGTTAATAATTGAATCTACAAGAGAAATTCTTATTCATATCGGACATTTACGGATTCTACATCTAAGATTTTCAATTAAAACGAAATCTTATAGCTCGTCTGTAAATATTTCATCTCGTTAAGATAGTTTTTTTTACCAGCAATAAACTGGACTTTTATAGCATGAAATCATTGAAGTTTCTTTTAGCTAATTAAACGAATGCACTCCTTCAATTACGCTGTTTGTTTTTATACTGTTGTTTACTGAATTCTTTCAGTTTCTTTGCTCTTCATTATTCTAATAACACACTTCAATTACTCTGCACTTTTCAACATGTAACTGTAGAACTTTGTTGAATGAACATTAATACATTACACAAAGCTTCTCAAGTAGCCTGTATATATGTAAGGTACATGAACAAGTCAAACTATAAACTACACGTACTTGTTAACCTGCACTTATGAAAATACTTAATAACTAATCTTGTATTCTTGTCTTGTTTCAGGATCCAGACTGGTGCAACTGATAGGAAGAAATGGAGGAATCGCTCATTCATTTTAACAATATTTATAAATATTATACATATTACATATATATATAGAATAAGTATTAAGTATTTTTTTCTTCTTGGCATTTGCAAGTGAACAATTATTTAATTACAAAAAAATAATAATAGAAGAAGCATTTGTTTTATATTTATTACTATTGAGGTGCCCCCACACAACTAGCGAACAATTGATCAAGTTATACGCACCGAACACTATAGATGTAATCAAAGTCATAATCGAGCCCTTTTGTATATATCGGCTTTAGCTCATATCGTGCATTCGTTTTCCTTTTGTTGTTGTTGTGAATATGTACTTTTAATAATAACTATATACCGTTTTTTAATGTACTTTTTTTTCGTCATCTATATATAAATATATTTTTTACAAATATCCATTATGTAAATAATATCCAATTATCTCTTATATTTGCAATGTAACAATCTGTTGTGACAATTATTACTACGATTGATCGTTTTGTTCGAATGCGCGCACACACACACGATCGTGCCAAAACACGTAGCAAAACCGTCGAACGGTGTTTATTCCTATTTATATATTATAAATATGTATTTATTGTCGATTAACTCCATTTACTTTATTCTTCCCGTTTTCGTTTCTTCTGTTAACCAACAATTAAACATCAAAAAAGCTGCAGCTAAGAAAGGAAAACTAAATGGGAAGAAGAACGGTTCTGTGTGATAAACCTGTTATGCAAATTCCGATTATTGGAATTAAAGCAATAGAGAGAAGCCTTAATATACATTTAGAGAATATATGGGAATGATCAAAATGTTATGCCTTATCCAAATAGAGAGACTCTTCAATGAGAAATATGTATTTTTGCACCGACCAACTCCGACCCCCTTTCCTTACTCGTTTGTGTTTGTATGTATACATTTTAAGAAATTTAGAGCACAAGTATTATTATTGCGGCGAACACAGATTTCGGCCGGCAACAAAATTTGTACTTAAAATTGTAAAACTTTCTTACGTATTTTGGAAGTACTTGTATATTATATATATTATACTTTTTTTTTTGTTTATATCTACATGGTAATAAAATCAATTTTAGAAAATAAACTATTATTTAACAAATCCTTTATTGTATGGTAGAAATTTGATTTTCGAAAATGCATTTACACGTCCAAAAATATTTGATTAACTCCAAGTAATAACGAAATCTTTAAATTAAATGCAAATATTACATAAAAGCTTTTATTTATGTAATTAGTACTAATATCCAAATAACTTTTAGTATACGCAGTCTACGACTGGTTTGATTCTCAACTCTTCATTTTTGTGCCCACGACCTATTTACTTAAATTCACATCAGTTAAATTACATTAAGAATATAAAGTATTATCAGATTCAGATTCCTATTCTTTCACGTATCCACATACATTTAATGCATATTTCAAGAACTTTACTAATAATTATTAGATATATGTTCAGAATGTATCTCAATCTAAATAAAGTTTAGAACCATTTGCGCGTGATACATCAACAATATATAAGATTATTGCACTAGTTACATTAAATTCTCTAAGTTTCCGTAAACAAAAAATAATAATCTGGTTCACAAACAAATTATACAAGCAACAGTTAACTTCTGTGTAGTTTGGAATGTCTTTTCAAATGTGCAATCTGCGAAAATCGTTTGTTGCAGAATTCACATAGAAAAGCTTTCTCTCCCGTGTGTACAACTTGGTGCTGCTTGAGTTCCTGCTTTGTGAAAAACGCTTTTCCGCAATTTTCGCAGGTGAAGTTCTTCTCGCCGGTATGGTGCTTCAAATGCGAATACAGATTGCTAGAACTTCCGAACCTCTTCTCGCACAATTTGCATATGAACGGCCTCTCGCCATTGTGCACCTACAAGCAAAATTACAATTGGTGACACCTTTGCCGAACTCGAAGCTTTTAGATTCTACCATAGTGTGCTTGTGCAGTTCTTGTCTGGTGCTGAATGCTTTCGGACACAAACTACAAGCGTGCGGTTTCTCACCAGTGTGCGTCCTCATGTGCGTAGTAAGATGACCGGAATTCACGAACCTCTTCTCGCACAGATGACAATGATACGGTTTCTCTCCTGCAAGAAAGCAGAGAATTAAGATGACAATAATCACGTTAAAAAGTACCAGTGTGTATTCGAATGTGCTGAGTTAAATATTCCCTCCTATTAAAAGTCTTCCCACATGTATGGCATTGGTGCAACTTTGCCTCCTTGGGTTTCTCTAATTTATTGCACTCCTTCCTCTCATTATCAGCCTTCTCCTCTGAGCCATTCTCAATAGCCTGAAATCATCTAATACTAGTTGTTGTTGTAATGCACAAAATTGATTCATAATTCTATAAACATACATCAACTTCTATCTGAACAATAGCTGCATCAACCTGTTTATCATCATCATTATCATCAATTTGCTTCAGCTCAAATTGATCCTTTACAACCAAACTGAATTCAGTAAATGTATTGAGCTGCAATTGTGAATTGTAAATCTCTCTGAGTTTTGCATCAGACTCTTGGCATTGCATCCTAAATTCCCACACATTGGTTAACCTGGACATGCAATGCTGGCATATGAAAATGGGTAGACCATCTCCTTCTGCAATCTACAGAATAAAAGTTCACTTCATGTGGTGATCTTAAGTAGGTCATAGGTATTACCTGTACAGAAGCACAGGCCATGATGAAATTGCTGATCAAATCCAATTGAATTTTAGCCTCAAATATGTTGTAAAGGTTCTTATCCAGTTCATTCTTTTCTAAGCATAATCTGCATATAGAGTTCATATCGCAGAAAACGTCGACCACATTTCGAGTCATCTTCGAGTTGGTATCCAACGTTAATTCCATTGTTATTTAGTAAACAAAGAACAAACACATCACATAACCTATTTAAACGATAGACGCCCAGGTTTCGGAGCGGTTCTTTAATGATTTTTGCGTCCATTAGAAATCACACAAATTATAATTGTGATATTCAACATTCAAAGGAAGGAAACAAATCTTGTAAATATTATTAACGAACGCCAAAAGCGCTAACTACAAAAACACAGACAGATGAAAGAACTACTTTAAGCCATTTAAAGAGAAGACATAGGCGGTACTTTGATTTAAGAATATTTGATTTTGGCATAATCACATATTAAAACAAAATCCAGTATAGAAAATTATAAATTTCTTGTAAAGACCTGTTTTTTGTATAAATTAACTATATTTAGTATTAATAGAGTATTAACTATATTTACTATCAATACAGTTTTTTTTAGTTACACCACTGCTTTCAAGAAACTAACATTTGCAATGTAGATGGAGCTAATAGATAGATGAAATTATGTTATTTTTTTTTAATAAATAAATAATAATATGTATGCATAAAGTGCATTCAATTAGATTACCAATAATTGAGAAATGTTTTAATGAATTTTCTTATTTTGATCAATCAAAGCCAGTGACCCTGACAGGTAGTTGGCGTTAGCTGATGAATAATAAGAAGTCGGAATGGTCGCGAAATGTTTGTTGTCAAGCACGGAGAGTAGGTTTGCTTAAATTATATAGTTGTGGAAACAAGTTTTATGATACATGGCATACAACATCAAGAACATGGAACCACTGGAACTTCTGGATTATTATATAATAAACAACATAAATGATATATGCAGGCTGTGCCTGCAAAGAGACAACAAACTGATGCCTATATTTGATCCAATAAAACCACCACACTTTTCTATACTGATCATGGCCTGCTCCACTGTTCAGGTTTGTAATTCATTTGTTTACAAACAGATTTCATATAAGATTCTGCTATATAACCTTTGCAGGTTGTTGAAGGAGATGGACTTCCATCGTACATATGCCCGAAGTGCATTCAGAAACTGAATTCAGCATATCAATTTAAGACACAGTTTGAGAGGGCTGATGCAAAACTGAGGGAATGTTTGGGGAAGTTGACTGAGATATCAGACACAACAGATCTCTCCAACTACATTGAGATCAAGAAAGGGGAGACCTCTATTATTTTACAGAGCGATAATCAAGATGGACATGAAACACTTCAGATACAGCAGACAAATACAGTGGAGACTGTGCACACTGTGCAGTTCAGTGCTATACTACAGACAAATGATCAGTTGGAGGAAATTGAGTTGCAACCATTGCAGAAGGATCAGTTGGAACCTGGGACTTCATTGCAGGTGCTGGAGAAGACACAGTTGACTGAACTGAAGATTGATTTAGATGAGCAAACTCCATTAAAAGCGGAGGATATAAATCTTATGATCGATGAGAATGCGGCCAGCACGAAGACGCGACGGCCGCCGAAAGATCATCAGTGCGATACGTGCGGAAAGATATTCAGGACGAAGCCGGGACTGGTGCATCATATTAGAATACACACCGGGGAGAGACCGTACGTGTGTCATTTGTGTGATAAGAGGTTTATGAATGGTGGTCATCTGCACACTCACATGAGGACACACACGGGCGAAAAGAACCACGTTTGTTCGGCCTGCAACAAAGCTTTCGCGACGGCCCAGCAGTTGACTAAACACACCATTGCGATACACACGTCGGAGAGGCCGTACGGGTGCACATACTGTCCTAAACGGTTCGCAAGTTCCAGTAATCTAAATACTCATATCAAAATTCACACCGGCGAGAAGAACTACCATTGCGATCAGTGCGCAAAGGCGTTCTCCACCAAAGGTCAGCTTTATCAGCACATGCTAGTCCATACAGGGGAAAAGGCCTTTCTCTGCGAATATTGCAACAAGAGATTTTCACAGAAGGCTCATCTGGTTAGGCATCTGAAAATGCATAAAGACTCCTAATTGCGTCTTATTGGTGTATACAACTTTTTTTTTCAGAAAAAAAGTATTGCTTTTAGCTTTTATCATAATTAACGGTATTATTTATTGATAATAAATACAATTATATATATATATATATTTATATCATATATTTTTATAAGAACAATTTTAATTGTATTGTATATTTGTGAAGAGCAAATACGTATTTATATTATTGATGTACACTTTGGCCTAAATATTTATTATTACTTATTGTTAAAATAATTTGAGGCTGACATAAAACGAAACACTATATTCGCTTACATTTTTACATTGTAATTAAGGATATTTAATTAATGAATGAATGAATATGTATTTAGTTCAGTTTTATAATTTTATTCTATCATTTATACTCAATTTAATGTAGAGTATTGTAAATATCAATTAAAACATATTTCCGTAAATAGTTTTTAGAATAATTGCGTTCTCAATTATGAAAAGTGACTGTGAAAGATGCTTATTCTTACAGACTCTGAACTCGAAAATGGCATAAAATTTGATTCATAATTACATTTTGACTGAAAAGTATGTTTTAATGGATTTGATATTATATTAAGACAAAATTATTATGCGCGGTGATGTAAGATTTACAGCAATTTGAAGATATAAAAAGTACACGTATCTCCCAATTTACACTATAGATTGGTTCTTCAGAAACAGATCTAAATCGAAATTGCTGTATAAGTATGCAAAAAATAAACCGTGTTAAAGAGAAAATTTGTATAGAAATTACCGTGTAAAACGAGTGATAAGTATATATGAAAACTTTGTATGAGACATGTAAGGTTTGAAAACTAATCGAAATTTTTGTAAGAAATTTTTATATTTTGGAATAAATTTATTGAAAACAACCCAAACTTTTAAATATTCATTATAATAAGCATTTTTTAAAATTTAAATTGTGTTATTTCATTTTAAATAAACTTTATCTATTAATTTCACTTACTTAATATATTTTCTTTTATTGTAGTCGGCCATGAATTTTACGTCATTGTTGTCAAAACCCTTCATTTTCACTTAACACTTTTTAATAAAATGTTTTTCACACACGCGTAAAGTTTTACGTATTTCTTTGTATAGTTTGATAATTAAACTAGAGTTTGAAAATATTTCTTAAATGAATTTAATTTGTACACACTAACGATAAATTTGCACCGACAATAAAACACGACCGGAATTTAAAATTGATTGCATGGAATGTTATCATCACCAAGGTAACATATATTGTTTTTAGGAACAGATTTTGATTGGTTGTGTATGATAAAAAGAAAGTTAGCGATTGCTATGATAGAATATTAGAACAGTGGAGGGGAACAAATAAAAATAAATTGATTAAAAATGTTTGTTTTTTTTTTCGTCGTTTAGTTTTAATTGTTATGTACATTTATTAAGTAGTCATATGCTAGAAACAATGTTTATGTCAGGGTTACTAAAATTGTATTTATCACAGAATCAGTGAACACCACTCTCTAAATATCTAATCACCCGTAAAATGAATATAAAATATACATGTACGCTTCATCGAAACAACGAAAGTGTAATGATAAAATGACAAAAAAAAAAAATAATAAAATAAAAATTAAATAAAATTATAAAGAAACAAAGGGAGAATGGTAATGAATTCATTAATAATCGTTTCCCCTTAATAAATTATTGACTAAAAAAAATATAATATTATAATCGAACAGTAAAAGGTAATCCTCGTTAATAATCAACATTAAACGAATAATACTTGTCTTTAGAAAATAAAGAAAAATTAAATAAACTAATCAACGTGTGTATTCTTTTTTGTTGTAGCTGTTATTACCATTTATTTTTTTGTTTGTTTTTGTTATTTATTTTGCGTTTTTAGAAGAAAACAAGATTTTTGTGTTCCTTTTTTCTTCATGTCCATCACAGTGCTTCACTCTCATAATTAAATTATTTTCGACTGTGAAATCAAAGTTTGTTATAATTTTTTTTTACATTTTTTTCTTTTCGGTCTAAATAAAATATTAAAATAAATATTAAAACCTAGATACAAATTATACTAAAGGTTAATCGATACATTTTTTTTGCGTTTATAAAATAAAGGATAAATTAAATATTAAGGCAATCGATTGTTTGTTGTACATCCCAGAAATAGTAATAATAGTAATAGTATTTGTTGAAGTAGTATTCATAATAATAATAATAACAGTGTAGATCTTTATGTTGTTTTTCTTTTCTTTCATCGAATTATGGTAAGGAGTATAAAATAACTCTAAGGGGGGAAACGACGTTGTTTCCCGTACAAAAAATATTATATTCCGAAGAAAACAAAATATCTGTTGAGCCAATCGCAAATATAAATAAATCTCGCACACAGAAAACAGACGTAGCAGCAGTACACACACACTCTCAACGCAGTGTAGAAATTGGATGAGAATAAATGCTACCTATATGACTTGAAGTCGTTAATAATTTTGGTCAAATGATCGATCTTCTTGATGAGATGCATCTTGTTCTGCTTGCACGTCATGCTGATGCAACGCAGATTCTCCACGGCGTGTGCATTCGTCCGGACGGCCGCTCGATGCTCGGACATCTTGCGTTTCTCCTCCTCGCACTTCTTCCGCAGCGAAGCTATTTCCATATCCCTATCTGAAACCGAAAAACTGTTAAACCCACACGCATTTATCTCGTAGAATCTCTTACACGAGCCAACTTACCATTGGCGTAGGTTTGATAGGAAAGCATGGCCTGCTCGATGTCGGGCCATTGAAATGGATTCGTGCTGACGGTTGCAAGCTTATTGTTGTCCTCTCCCAATAAGAAGTTCTCGAGACTGGAATGCATCTCTCTGCTGTACACGTAATCCTGCTGCGACGGATAATACTCGTCGAACCTCCTCTGCGCGGATACCCTGGGGTACAACAACTGATGAGGTTGCAGGCACGCCAACGTAGTTATGTTCTCGAAATTGCTTTCATCCTCGTGATAATTCTTGAACTTGCTGTGCGACTCGATGTAATACCTCGAATACGAGAGAAGCGAATTTCGCTTGAGCCGTTGCTCCACGACTTTCATCCAGTTGTTTTCGAGTTCTACAGAAAACTTTTTGTTTTAGCAAATGATTTTTTTTTAACGAACGTATTAATCTTACCGTGTCTGTGTTTCTTTTGCACAGTTTTTAATCCTAGTAATTGTAAGAATCCCATCTTGTGTGGGAAGTCATCCGTAAAGTTAAGAATGGATGGTGATTCAGAAGGCACTGGTAAATCAATTGGAATACTGTCGTAGTTCTCTTCCGTTATGATTAGGTCGACTTTCGGTTTCCATATGGATTTTTCTAATTTACTTAACTCGAGTACTGAAAGTATAATAATTAGTAATAAATATATTACATTGTTGAATTATTTATAAAGAATTTCGTTCTCACCATTGTTTCCTACGTGTGTGGTTAATCCGATGGCTCGTAGAAGTCTCAATTTATCGGGAGTGATGACCGTTTTCGAGGGCGGACCGGACTTGATCCAAGTGTCGATGTCACAGCAGTCGCTTTCAGAGTCTGAACTGCAGTTGCTCGTAGCTGAACTGTCGGAGTAACCGTAGACGGGTACCCCGCAGTCCATGATCACAGATTCGGTATTATTAGTCTTCTCTTCTTGTTGTTGGTTGTCGTTATTGCTGCGATGGAGTGGGAGTGGCGATATGGCAGAAGGAGGAGGCGGTGGCGGAATCGGCGAAGACGATTGGCGGAGGTGTCGTTGCTGTTGACGTTCCTGACGCCGCCTTCTGACTTTACGTTTGATTGTGGCCAAATCGATTTTGCTGAATTTCTGCTTCTTCTTCGGTGGCATTGGAACTTTAAGTACGGTAAAAGCAGTGTTCGTCCCGTTGGGATTCGCATGCGGCATGACTTCAAAGGTTATTTCGTTATTATTCACTATTTGATTTATCGCGTTTATATTTAAAATATGGTTGGCACTTAATATATTCTCAAAACTCGTTCTTTTTTCACTATTATCAATTACAATTATCCCATAGTCGGAGTTCACATTAATATTATCGTTATTATTCTTATGTTTATTATTATTATTGATATAGTCTATGCGGTTATTGTTTACAACAGTGTTTCTTCTTCTCTCTTCGTTACATTGTTCTTGATCATTATTATTAGCAAGGGAGCTGCTCATTGCGGAATGTGGGTATTTTAACTCAATTTGACTAGTAGTATGAGGTGTATTTATGTAATTATTAATTATGGTAGGAACATAGTTATTTGGTACTTGCGTAGATACGCTACGCATTTTAGGAGCAGATTTACACTCTTGTTTCGATGGGTTGCTGAAGGAATCTGTGTTGATTTGCGTTTGGATCGGATAATTAGGGGATGGGATGGGCAGTTGAGGGCTGTGGGTCTGCTCGATTGCGTCTAACAGTGGCGTGCAGGCGTGTTTCACTTCGGAGCTCAAATCCGTGTTGTTGTACATCATCATTTCCACCTTTTGATTCAGATTACTATTATTATTATTATTTTGATTCGTTATGGGCAGCGGCGATTCATCATCATATTTATCAACTTCGTCAATGTCATTATCTACATCATCATCCTCGACAACTCCATCAACATGGTTATGATGATCATCATCATTATTATTATTATTGGAAGCACCATTACTATTCGAGACTCTGTACAAGTCTTCTTGCGATATCAACAATTCATTGTGTCCCTGCTGCATGACTGGAATACTTTCTTGTGGATGGTAATCAATGGAGCGGTTTTGCTGCTGCTTCTGTTGTTGATGTTCTGCATCTGCATGCGGATCGTCCTTTGCAGTTGCTTGCTTATTATTGTCACTATTCACAAGTGCATCAATACTGTATAATTTGCTTTTAAGCGATAATGGTTTCATGCTATTGTTGCTCTTGTTCTGTTGACTACCGCTGCAAGATGGACTTTCATTTGACATTGCACTGTTTTGGGATTGAGGTAACTCTTTATCTATTATAGTAGGCTTCCTGGCTAAAACAAAGACATTCAATCATACTATTGTAACATATGCTTAACAGATTACAGCTCTGTTATTGTTGTTGTTTGAATACAAAAATCCAGCAATCGAGGAAATGATGGATAATGACAGAATGTGTGTAACACAGAAAGCAGTCAAGAGAAATTTAATAGCCATTGCGTCGATCATTGGATGTTTCATTTTAGTTGTTACTTTTTTTTATGTGTATATATGTGAATTTAAAGAAATAATAAACATAAACCACGATTATTACCGAAAGTTGGGGATAGTGACAAACGACAAGCAATGGGGAGATGTCAGGCATTTTCTCCGTTGTCCCGATTCCCCTCACCTGCGCTCGAGACTTCCTCGATTGTGGAGTTTGGCCTCGAGGTTGGAGGCATGATGGGTGTAACGACAGGCGAAACCTCGCTCAATGAAGAAGGCGATGTCGGCGTTGCCGCGTTTATTGGACTCGGGCTTGGCGTGCTATTCAATGGAATAGGTTTGGGACTAGGTTTAGGTGTTGGCGGTTTCGGGGACTGCCTGCTCTGAGATGTGCTGGTGGGCGGAGCCAGTGAGTTGTTGATGAGCGGTCCCGATGGCTGAATGATCGGCGATTGGCGCGGCTGCGACAGGTTCAGCGAGTAGGCGTTACTCCCGGACATCGATGCGCTATGAATGTTAGAATGTGGCGAATGTCTTTGGAGCGACTGCGGACTTGATCGTGGTATCGTGGAATAAGGTTGCGGACTCGGCGGAAGGAGGGAAGCATTCATCGGAGATTGGCGACTGGATAGGCCGTACGGGTTGGGATAGATGTCCTTAGGGGGCGGAAGCATCGCCCCTCCGTGTACCATCGGCAACATCATGGGTGACTGGACCGAGGGATGCGCTGGAGAGATGCGAGACATCGCGACCTTCTCACGATCGCGTAGAGCTCTTTCCTTCTCTCTCTGCTCCATTTCCCTCTGATGTTGCAGCAGTTCTCTCTTCTCCAGGATCTCCCGCTCCACGTGCTCGTCCTTGCGAGACGCCAGTCTTCTGTGCTCTTCCTCCAATTTGTACCTACGCATATTTAATTAGTAATCATATAACCATTTCCGTTTTTCTATTCTCACCGTTCGTGCAGATACAGCGGCATCGTTGCTCCTGGTAACATGTACGGTAGATAGGCATGGCCCATTGGCGGCCATTGCGGTCGCAAAAGTCCCATCCTTTCGAAATACATCTGTTCGTCCATCAGAGATACATGAGAGTACGCGTACGGCGGATATCCAGGTATATCCAAAGGTACAGCCATTTGTGGAATTCTACAACTAAATTTAATTCAACATATTATTTTATAATCCTAAATATAATTCATGTATACATTTTGTCTTTGCCCTTTGCAAATGACCCGAATTAATCTTAATTTATTTTGACTATAATAGAAATTGTTTATAAAATGATTGTTTTGTATTATGCAAATAGAAACAATAAAATTGAAATTCTTAATCACAAAAGATAAGGCTTGTATTGCACTTAGTTACCTATCTTCTGGTCGATAGGGCTGAAATCCGCTACGCAAATCAGTAGGCTGATATCTCTCAGCCGAGGAATTGGCGAGCCGTGCATCTGCGGATCGCACCGCCGAACTGCTGCTCGCTCCGTACATTGGTAACTCCGAGGACACTTTACCGGATTTGTCGTTAACTGCGGGCGCTGTTGATATCGGGAAACCCCCCAAAAAAAAGAAAAGGTGGAGAGAAAAACATAGGATCAATAAACGCAAATGTCCTGAATTTGGTGTTGTAAAGTACCAGCACGATGGGCGTCATTGCCGGAAGTGGAGGTATGTTCCACGGTCCCAGGAGTCGACTGTTGCGCAAGATTCCTCAAGGCGGCCGCAAAAGAATGGGACGTGCCCTGAGCCTGAACACCGGGTCCTGGACCTGGGACCGCATGTCCCGTCGTTGTCCTCTGCTTCGCACTGCCATTTGTAGAACCCGCTATTTTCGCATTCTGAGATGAACCTGCAAAGCAAGAGAAAATGATTTATTAACTTGGTACGATACGCATGCATGCAACTTTATTCAATAAAGTTTTGTATATTCCTGTTTATTGATGTGAATAATATAGTTTCGGTTTTGTGCTATTCACTACAATTATAAATAAAATTCTCCATAACAACCAATGTAACAAAATAATACAAACAATGGAGAAAGTTAGTTACAAACTCGTCTGCTATATTGATTACAATTTCCCTGATTGCTCAAACGCATTATGAAGGTTTGTCAATCGGTAGTAAATATAGACGTGAATACAAAAATTGTACATTTTAATATCGATATGTTTTTTTTTATACGGGATACGTGAGTTATTGGATTTTTTTATTGTACATCAAAGAAAATAATCGATTTCCGTTCCCGGAAAATGAATAAATGAAATCTGATGGTTAGTGTTTCTTTATCAGTCTGTAGGAATTGGTTGTTTCGATCGTCACCGATACTTGTTCGAACGAACGTACGCACGCACAGCTAAACATTAATTTGTTTTTATTATTACATGTTGAACTCAATTTTACGGGGTCGACTGTTTTATGATATAACAGGTCTCAGGGGTCTCGCGGGTCCCGCTCCCGTGATCCCTCGCAACGGCCAGATCACAAGTCAATAAGGTCAGAAGTCAAGGTTACCAATTTCCACACATATACATATAAAAGGTCCATTAAAGGCGGTCCAGATAACCCGCGGCCAAGTGGCGTTAAAAATGTTAACCCCGGACTCGGTATCTCGCCGCCGGCTCTAGATTCTTCGTCATTTATATTTCATTGTTGTTGAATGAATAAAAAAGAAAAGAAAACAACAAAAATAATAACGACACGAAAATAATAATATTATTATGCACAACAAATCGCAGTCACTGTTTGCGTTTTTCTTTCTTTCGCTTTTTTTTTTCTTCTTCCGCAAAACAATTGATTCGCGCTCTCTACACGCAAAACCAATTAAGCGTTAATGGGTATAGGCTATAATTAGCGAATAGGAAATTAAATTGTCCCATTCAAATTATAATCCGTAATTATATTACCCTCGATTGGTGAGGCGGAATTAATTGGAACGCCTCTAATTACCAAAATATTTGTGCACAATCGTTTTAATCATATGAATTTCACATATGAAACATCAATTATAAACTATTATTCGCCGTTGTTTCATTCATTTAATACATTTTACTAACTTAAATAACGCTAAAACATAAATCACCGCAACGACCCATTGTTTCCTTATATCCATTATTAATGTACATATTTTGCTATTGAAATCTTGTTTATAATTATACACTCATTATGTTAAAGCAGCTGCAATTAATTAATTAGATCTAATAATGAATGAAATAAAAAGGAGTAAATATTTTGCTAAAATTAATTTGAAACTTGTGCAATAAACATGAGCGGTATGCGCGGTGTTAATAAATATTATCGATAATAAATAAACGGCACGAGTTTTCGGGTTCGTACAGATTCTGTGCGAAATGCGAGCGCGATCTATCGCGGATTGATAATTCCCCAGCATGTAGTAAACAAGTCGTTAAGGATCATTAAGCACGGAATCCAAAACGTACCAAACGATAGACATTAAAACAAAAGCTATATTCCCTCAGGCAGTGCTGATTACACATATACTCACTCACTTTATGCAAATAAGAAAAAACATAAATATTTTTACAAATGTTCAAAGCGCAAAGCTTGGGAAAGATCATTACTGCCACATAATAAATAATTCCAAATTGATTGATTTTGTTCCATAAGCTATTAAACTCTATTTGAATATTTTCATTCACTATTTGCATACAGACATCTTTTATTTAGTCTAAAAGTACGAAGTTTTGTAAGAAAACCCCAATTTTACTTTTTTTTATAAATTGTTTTCAATTTAATACACTAGATGCTTAATTTAAACTTTACTATCTTAATAATAAGACTCATTCTAGAGACTGTGATTTTGTTAAAATCATCTCAACCGAAGTTGTATTCGACCACTGTAAATCTAGTAATTAATTAATTAAATTAAAACCATATACATTTTCGATGTTATGATTTAATGAGTACGTGGGAACGAGGGAGATGCGGGGATTTGCAATTAAAGGCTTTAATTGGAGCGCGCTTGTGTTCATACGTGATTCATTTCGATTTATATATATATTTTTTTTTTTATAAATGTAATCTATGGAATCTCGTTTTGCACCTGTCCATCACGTTGCTAGTGGGTGGCAAACATGTATCTCTATTTGCACCCTTCCCAACTCATTCCTGCGTCATTTCCGCACTGCCCGGAAATGGAATTACAGAAAGCTCGCATACAACGCGTCATCGCTCTTTCAGCACCTCGCTTCTTCATTTTCGCTGGCATTTGTGCATTCTTTTCCTTATTTCCTTCATACAGCTCTTCTCCCCAGTCAAACGTAAGTGACGTACGAAATGCAATGAGATTCTCGCCTCGCGAACATTCAATTTAGTTACATCACCTTCTTCGAATTTCCTATATACATCAAGTCGTTAAACTTACAATAAAATAAATGAATTTGATCATTGCAATACCTTACTCAACGTTGACAACTTACACTAATCATATTTAGCAAAAAGAAACTGTTTATCTGTATGGAATTCATTCAATCTTGTTACGTCACCTTTCTGCGCGCATTACATATTCATCAAACCATTAAAAGTTGAACAACAACTCTCGTATTAACATCAATCCATTGATGTTACGACATCTTAATTAACAAGAATATAACGTAATTATCTTTGGTAAATATAAATCTTTCTATAGACATGTAATTGCAATTAAGGATTGAGCAAATCAAATTAATTAATTTCGCCATATCGTATTAGTATAAAGCTTCAAAGGTTAATAAAAATAATTAATTATAAATACCTAGGCTAGAGCATCGTAGATCTATACCTAGAAAAAGTAGAAAGAGATCTTGTAAACAATGTTAAATAACAAAAATATGCGATTTTCATTTAATTAAAAAAAAAACTAAATTGAAACTTAATGTATTGACAGCAGCTATCATATGTATTCATATAATTGTTAAGTTATTTATGCATTAGAGAAAAATCTGTTAATAATTAGTACAAACATGTCGCTATAACAAACATTCACTGCATAATTGAATCAGCTGTGATGCAAACATTGACATGCGAATGATCTTTAACACAATTTTCTGCAAACGTCACCGCGGTGGAATAAGGAGCAAAGCCTTTGATGAAATATAATTGCAAACCGAATATCTGAATTAAAAGAACGGTCTTCACGTTTCGTTAACGGCTGAGAGTTGCAAATTTTCGGAGGATGATGCCGGTCGATAATATGCAAGAGGGGTTGTCCTCGGCGGAAGATGAAGAAGCCAACGCGACGTGTAAGGGAAAACGATCGATCCGCAAGGAAACCGGAAAAATTTACGACCTCGCACATTGTAATTGAACTCTCTCTCTCTCTCTCTTCTATCCTTTGAAAGTTCGCCGCAATCGCACATCAAATCCAATATAGCAGTGCAGCGTGTGCGTTACATATCCATGTGATTCAGTTAAAAAGAAAGGATTAGTTTTGGAATTGATGAGAAATGGAAATCCCAGCAACCATTTTTTTTAGCGAGAATCCGTGTGACTTTTCAACATAATTTATTAATACATTTGCTGGCGAAACTTTACACAATATTTTATTTACAAAATCGATTGAGCAATTTCGACTAAAGCCTTAATATTTTGTAGTAATACAGTCTTTATTTTTTCAAGTCAATTTATTTTATTGTAAAATAATGCCTTATAATAATCGTGATTTCTATAACGTACGTTAAAATTTTCAAAAGTTTCAGATCTCGAATAGTGTGGTTACAGCATTAACATTTGTTTTATGGTGGTAAATCATACTTGAACGGTATATTCACATGTATTTTTTAAGTATTATCCGAAATCCCATGGCAACCACAGTAATCTAAATAAGCTAGATTACTATTGTGGTTGCCATGACAACCACGTACAAATTAATATTAGTAGTCTCTACTAATTGGTACGCCTGATGGACATTTATGAATCAAATAACGAAGTATGTGGATACAGAATTGTTCTACTATAATTTAATAATATTGATTGAAAATTGATAGAAAATGTGTTAAAATATTAAGAGGTGGGCTTCTTGATCTTGTGGTCTTAGTCTATATATAGATATTGAAAGTGCGTCTTCCAAAGTGTAGTATAAGTGGCTGCCATCAGCGTATGCGGTTGAGGGTGGTATTGCTGCTCACCCTCAAAGACCGAGCTGCTGGAGGGGTCGACATGTCTGTTTGAGCTGGTATCCGGTTCGTATCACTTTCCACCCTCGTCGCATTACCGCGCGTCGACTGTAATAGGCCATACTCGCAAAATAAAAATAAATACATTGGCCATTTGAATAACAAAGTTACGACCATCACCATCACCCACCCTCCATTACCAATATTTGCAGGGCCGAGCGCATTTACACCGTCATTTCTATGGAAACGAAGCGGTTTTAGGGACAAGTTCTTTGATGGTGTGGCAAAGAGTGGTGGTACATGGAAAGGGTATGCGTGTGTTTGCGGATTGGCGCACAAAGCCAAAGTATCAAATATTCATGATCCAGAATATCGCTTCTATCGAATTGCAAGAAAAAAATATAGACGTTGCACGCTTTGCTTTTTCCAGTTCACGGAATGGTGAAGCAAAAATAAAAAGAATCCATTTCCACGGCTATCGAAATGAAAGAAATGGTAAAAGAAAATATATATATGTTTCAGGCTATTTGCATTTTAGGTATACTCTATATATTTATATAATATCAAAGGCGGCTGCGACACGCGTATAACGTTTCAGCATTTATGATTTAATTTCAAACCAAAAACCGGTTGCTCCTTTACAAACATATTAATTAACGTTCGCCGTATAATTTTCTCATTACGTTTTGCATCTTACACGTAATTAGACTGTCTAATTAATTATATCTAAAAAAAAGTGAGCTATAACACAAGTTCTTATTTCCTGGTATTAATTAGAAAAAAAAAAGAAACCTTTGACAATCCACGAATATTGATGTTATACTTGCAATCATAATTATGCAAATGCAAAAAAAGGAAGTAAACTTTACATCGAGTTTGAAGCGTATTACATGGAGCTTAGATTTAAGAGCATATATTATGTTTATATATCGAACAGCATCTTTCCAATCAAGTTAAGATTGCAGCAAACAAGATAAGTATATAATATAAATGTATGAAAACATAAATGTATAAAGACTTATGTATTTATACCTCGCAAAGTGCGGCTTCGATGAGTTCGTATTCACTATAGTCCGGTTTGAAAATTTCAAAACAAATCAAATTATAATTGAGTAAAATAAATATTTTTGTTTCCTCAATTAGTCCGGTTTTAAACACCAAGATTTGAATTATCCGCACTATACGGGGTATTATATTATTAATATAAATATGAAATGAGCTTGAAGTGCTTTGTCATTCAAAAAGAGTAATTACAAAAATCAAGTTTGTTTTTAAAGAATTGAAACCAATAAACAAACTAAAAGCTTATAGTATTTCTTATTTTATCTCTTCGCGTGTTTTGTTGTTGTTGTTATGTCCGTGTTGGCCTGAAACATATTTTTCCTCTTCCGCATACAGTTTCTGCTCGAGTTTCGCATTTACGAGGCAATAAAAAAATCGCAGAAATATTGCATTCGCCTCGGTTATTGGTACATATATATTTCTTTGCCAAAGGAAGATAAATCAATCCGGAATTTACATTTTAACTACGTAAGAAAATTCGAATTCACATAAATCAGCATGAAACGAACATTTAATTCCGCATTCCCAATTCCGTGAATCCTCTCGACGGGAATTTTAATTTTGTTTTTACTCGAAACAAAGTGTATTCTTTCTTTTGACTTCAAATTCGAATGGTTTTGTGAGAATACAGTTAGAAAATAGAATGCAGAAGCGTAACGTTCGCTTCTTGCTACCGGATGTAAATCATCTTTTTGTTTTTGAAGAAGAACACGTGGAAGAACTCAAGATTGAAGCCCTCTTAGAAACGAGAGCAAGGGAAAGCTCGAAAGAAAGAAAACTATGTTTTGTTTTTCAGTCTTAACACAATGGTACAAACTGTACAAAGACCTTTATTTTGTCTGATACGCATCATAAGCATGGTAGATTTTAACACAAAGAAAACAACAAATGCAAAAAATTTCGTAAAGAAAATCAATCGTTGAGCCAATTATTCAATCGGTTGAAAATATTTAATTAAAATATAAAATATAATTTATGAAATTTTATATACTTGTACCATGTTATTAAAATTGGCGAATTCATATAAATATAATATGAGAATATTAATAAATATTCAATGGAAAATTGCCTTGTTCACGCAATAATTCCTAAATAATGAATACAAATAACATCAAAGAGCTTATTTTTAATATAATTTGTAATTATAAATAAATTGTAACCAATAATATATGAAATATTCGATTATTTTCAAAGAGCGAAAACAAAGTTTAAAGTCTAGTAAACTACCTTCTAATAAAACTAAAAAAAATCGATTTACAAAACAGATTGCGAATATGAAAATATTTTAATATTAGATGAAAATCCAATAGTTGTATCACAATTTATATACGAAGCAATTGGAGTAAACGTTATAAATTTACCATATTTTAATGTTTAGCTAAAGGAAGTATAAAACTGAAAAACTAACGTTTACTATGCAGTAAATAAGTAAGTAATGTTTACAATTATATTAAAACCAAGTTTAACTTGGATTAAACAGTTCCACGTCAAAGATTTTTCAAGCACTATGCAAATAAGAGATTACTCAAAGACTTTTCAATTAAAACCATTAGTAGAAGTTTTCGCAACCAAGTCTGAGGAATGGAAATATAACTTTTACACATTAAGATATTGTAAAACGCTCCAATAAAACAAGATTTACTAGCATTTCGATTAAGTTTTTCGTGTAAATTACTATTATTACTTTTTCATTTAAATGTAATTCACATTGTAATCATAATCTAAAGTACATAAATATTGGGTAACAAAAGAGTTTCATATCATTTTCTGTTGTTATAGAAACCAACACTGAGGATGACGTCAAAGACACATGCAGAAAACATCTTAAGGAAACGAATCAGACAAAAAAAAATTCCTTTCATTTCTTCCAACTGTATTGCGCCCACGCGCTATTCGTTTCATTCAAATTGGCCATCGATTTTTTTTCACCCTCCCCCCGAATGTGCACACATCGCATAAAACCAATGGAGAAACGTAATAAAAAAAAAGAAGGAAGGAAAAAAATAATATGTGAATCGCGTAAATGGGAAATCCTTGCACATGAAATTTAAATTTTGATTGATCGTTTGTTTAACAATCGTTCATTTTTCTCTCTCTCTCTTGTTGATGGTGCACAGTTTTTTTTGTTAGTCGACATCTAAACTAATTCATTTCGAATGGCATTTCAATTAAAACGAAATTAATTTCTCTTTAGGCCCTGCAAAATCTGGAGCAGCCTTCAGACGAAATTATATGCTTAAATAATTGATGGAAAAATCTGTTTTTTTTTTTATATGGAACGGAATATAAATTACTTCGTTTTTAACGTACATATTAAAAGGGGATATCTACAAAAAAATACACATAGTATAGAATTTGTTGCATTTTACAGAATTAATGTTCAAACAATATATGTGAAAATCTTAAGATTTTTTATAGTCTCTTACTATACATTTTAAACTACAAATTATTGCTAAGTAATTCTTTAAAAAATATAAAACACGTATCATATTGTAAAAATATTTCGTTTTACTCTATTATTAACTTTATTAATATGAATTATATAATACGTTTTTTGGTAATAAAATAAAAAATTTGAAAGAAAAACTAAATTTGAAAATAATTAGTCTAAACGTTGTAAAGTTCTTGTTTAGCTACAAAGTTTGATCATATTCAGTTGAAAACATTAATTATATAAAGAACAACTTTATACAACGTGAATATAATGAGATACTCGAGAATGGGAAGAGCAAAATACCGTTATTCTGGTAAAAACTAAACAATTTTTGCATATTATACTAAACTTGATAAAAGTATGCTTGAGGTAATTATTATCGTTATATTAATTAATATACAAAAATAATTCATTTAGTAAACAATATTATAGGCAATTACTTTAATCTGAAAAAAAAACATTGTAGGAGTAATTTTGAAGATTGTGACAATATTTTTAATTTCGTTAAATGTAATGAAAGTTTATATATTTTTTGTTTCTGTTTGATACTTCGTGCAAGCATGCTTGAACTGTGTAATATATGTGTGTTGTGATGTATGTAGGAATGTAAATAGAAGCAAGTAAAGCCCTTACCTAGAGAAGGGTAGTTGTAGTAGGGATGAGGATGTTGATGGTTCGGCAAGAAAGGTGGATATTTAAAATCCATGTCGCAGTAACACGTCGAATGACATTACATTAGTTGAAGAAGAGAGGAGAGAGAATTGGTTTAGCAACGCGCGCGCGACGTTCACGGCCACCGAGCAAACTGTCCCGAGGAAGAGGGCTTTGGGCAAAGTTCTTAATGTCAACAGGAAGTGCCAACTTTGGTGGCGAGCTCTGCCACGATTGTGTCCGATGTCGTCCGTTAGCAATGTTATAAACAACAAAAGCGATGACGTTCTGGGCGTGAGAGGCGGCGACGACTACATCAGTGGCGGAGGCGGCGACGCTAACAGCAGCAGATGAAGCACAAAAAGGCGTTTATTGACAGGATCTACCCTCTCTCGCGCGTCTGGCGATACTTGATTTCGAGCCGCCGCTGCGACGGGGGTGGCTTTGACTCTGCCCCTGACCCCTCAAACCGCCGGCGCCTTTCGCCCCCCAAAAACCGCTGCACTCGACTGCCGCGGGGGAGGGATCTACCCTTTTTGTAACGTAGTGACGGCGCATGTGTTCTTCTAAACTCCTACACTATTACCAAGGGGGGATCCGAACGCGTTCCACGCACATATCCTCTCTCTTTCCGCACACCCACATAAAACCGTTCTGCATATTTAAAAAAAAGTGCCCTCCCGCATCCAAATGCGGCTCAATTTCCCTTCGCTTTTTTTGCACGTTGTTACCAAACAACCTCCATCCCTCCCTCAGCATAACGTTAACTCACTTTCTGTCTCCGTGCGATTCAATTAAACCATGACTGCATCCATTTATAAATAATTAGAAGCAGATCTGAAATCTAGCGTGTACGTGTGTATATCTCCATATGAAATTCATGTCATCCCTGTACCAGTTATCAACGTAATCAAATTTTATCGCAATGCATTTCCCATTTGGGAACGTTATTAATTTAACATTTCCAATTAAACCTAAAAGTAGAGAACGTTACCCATGGAAATATAAACATAATTCCCTACTATATACAACTAATGGATGTATCACTTATGAAACGGTTCGCAAATTAATACCAAGCATTATAAACTTTGCATTAAAAATGTTTCGAAATTAATTTAATGTTTACAAAGGATATGCGTAAACTTCCTTCACCTTTTTTTTTTAAAGTTAAAATCGATTAATTGAGATTAGTTAAATAAAGAAACATTAAGTTAAATCAATTATTTATTTGTCCACAACATTTTGAATCATATTTTTAACAATTTATTAAAATTTATTTAATGATCGATGTACATCTTCAATGTATAATAATAAATCATCAATTTGTATAAACCTGAAAACACTAAAAATTGTCCAATCTATCAAATAAAAAGCGATTTAGTAAAAATGCACATATCTGTACATAAAACCTTAAATTTGCACTTAAAACATAAACGTGTTTTCTTCATTTAAACAATATCAATACAATGTTTTTGTTTTCATGTGCTTCAATTAAAAAAGTAACAAAATACAATCAATCGTAAACATTTAAAGTGATTTCTTTAATTAAACAAAAGCCATTAACGTTATTAATAGCAACAATCGATAATGCTTGTTTTTTTTTGTAAACATTTTGCTTATAACTACTTACAAATTAGAAAAGAGGTATTAACTGTTTTTTTTTTATAAAAATAATAAATATAATTGCTATACATCGCATGAGGTAGATAGAAACCAAAAATATCTTTTTCAAAAATCAATATGGAAAATCATTGTTCCCTGTTTAACATTCGAAAATTTGTAAATACAAAGTGTACTTCCTTTCACCAAAGAACATTCTTACGTAAACAATTGAGTTGCTTAGGATGCAGACATAGACTATTGAAAGAGTGTTTGTTTGAAAGAGAGAAAGAAAATCAATTCAGGCCACTGCTTTCATCCTGCATTGTTTATTTTTTGTTGTTGTTGTTGATACATAAACGAATTGCAAGTATTCAACAACGAATCGAAACAAATTTGGAAATGGCGCGTTCCGGTCTCGCGGAATAATTGATGAAACCTCCGCAATTCTATTTCCAACCAACCGACGGGCGTCCCGATTTTTTTTGTTTTCGCACAAACGAACGGAACGGATGTTGTTTCAACGACTCGCATTTATTCGGATTTTATTTCTTTTATACTTTTGATTCGTCCGTAGTTTTCGTATTAGCGAGAGTGCAGTCTTCGTGGACAAGCGAAATTAAATTTTCCTCTTAAAAATTTGTGATAATAACTAAATGGTATTTTTTTCAATTTTTATTATTTCCGTTTGGAATTTACCAATTTTATTTGAAATTTCCATAACTATTGGATTAATTAATTTCAGATCATTTGTATTTTTTTTTTTGTTATTATTTTCTTGTGATTAAGATAATAAAACAGATATTACTGTTTTAGAAACAATTTCGATTTCAGTTGAACATTCCATAATTAATTGATAAATTGTAATCGGTAGAAGATAATTAATATAGATTAGATTTACCAAATCAAAAATAAATAAATTTTTGATAATTTATGCTAATTTTTGCAAATATCAGTAAGAAAATACAAGAAGATTACAAGTATTAAAGAAATTGAGATAATAAAACCGTGAAACGAATAGAGTGTAAAGTAGCTTGAAAATTAACTTATTCTTTTTGATAAATTAATATTTTTTTAAATTCTTTTCAAAATTGAATGTACAAGAAATTCACTAAATTAACTAAATGTATTTAGTTGTATAGATAATGGAATTATCAAACACAAAAAACTGTAGTAGATGTCGCTATTATTAAAGTTGAAATTATTAATATTACATATGACTGAAAAAGCTCATAATACGTGCACCAGATATAATAAATGTATAAGCATATTTTGATTACAGTAGTAATTTATATGACGGTAACATTGAGGTAGATTGATTAGATTATTTAAACTTACCGGGAAGATCAGGTTTGTTGGAGGTAGATGCATTGATCGGTTTTCTATCGGCAGTCTTTGGGGAGTTGTTCTTCCTGGCCGGTCTGGAAACGAACGTCTGAGGCACCTGCGGAAACGAAAAACGATTATTCAACACTTTGGTACGGAATTCCAGAGCACTTACTACTTTATCACTTCTTTGTCCGCTGGGCAGTCTCGCGATGGTCGCTTCGGGGCTATCCTCTGGTGGCGGCGGCTGCGTTATCCAGTTGTACTGTCTCTTATCAAGCGGAAGACCCCAGCGCTCGTATTCGAGGCTCTGGGTGCGCAACGTCTCGTAGCAGTCTAAACACACCACCGAGTAGTCCCCATTCTCAAGCAGCAACGACATATCCGGCTGAGGATGGAATTTCAGAAAAGGAAAATCCTGCAAAAAAAAAGGACCAACATTTTGGAGATGCATCGAAAACAAACATCCGTTCAAATCTGCGAAAAAGAAACGGTATCTCTTTAGCCCGTGTGACCTTATGAATCACGTAGGTTGAAACAACAAAAAAAAATCATACGAGACGATCCACGTTTGGGTATTTGATAACCTAACCGAAGTGGACTAATATTTATCTCTTCCTTCCAGTTGTGTCTGGCACATCGGAAAATGTAAACTATTTCGAATATTTAATCGAACATTACTGAATAACGCGCTATCAACTCGTGCAATTTCTATATCTATTTCAAACAAATAAACTGATTTACACGAACGTTATTTATAAAATTAACAGACTATTAATTGATGATAAATGATATTCATTTTTTATGTATGTGTATATATATATCATTTATATTAGTAAATAAGTTGAGCAAATCTTAATAGAAATACGTAACGATTTATGTAAAAGAAATGTGTTTGACCAAGAACTAACTTTCATCTAAGTTCATGTAGATTATCTCGGGTCAAATGTTAACAATTATTTTGAAAATATTGGATACATGTATCCGCTCTTCGATACTATTACATCTGATGAAAATAATATCAATAACATTATATAAGATTTTCATCTAATTTCGGCTTCAATCAGTCCGGATTCAAATAAACTAAATTTTAATTGATAATCACAATTTGAATTAACAGTTGTAACCGTGGAGATGGAAGTGCATTAACGAGATATTACGACCTATATGTCAGTAATGCAATTAGATAGTATTTGTTTCATAATAATTGTTATCATTAATAATAAATTTATACTAAAAATAAACACGTTAATCGAAGAATTTTATGTTTAACATTCCGCTTAGCTTGATGATGATACTTAATAGATTTTAAATAATCTAAGGGGATTTAAACTTATTGTCTACATCAGCGTTTCTTAATCCTTTTGCCAGTTTTCACACTGTCATTTTGTGAACCATCAAATCTATGATTGAGAGATTATGGTTTACAATAAGGCTACATATAGTTTACCTTTATCAATAAGGCTCGAACTCGTCTTCGATACGTCGTTACGCCGCACACATAGCAACAGTAATCGTGTGTGTTGTATTCCCTACGATCAGCTGGAGGCGCGGAGGCCACCTGTCCCTCGTATCTTCTGTATTGGCTAACTAAGGTGTGGTAACAAAAGGTGCAGACCAGCGCCGAGCCATCCTCTCTCAGTTGTTCAGCATTCGGAGGGCTCTTGTGCTTTAGCAAAGCAGGAAAGTACGGCGCGTTTCGACCTAAAACACAAAACATAGTTATAAGCGACACAGTTGCAAATATTTTACATATAATGTTATCATTTTGTCATATCATTTTTCTTTCCTTCTCTTTGGCATTAATGGTAATAAATGTTTATTCGATTGTTATCGGAGCGCGTTCGCAATTACTCCAGATTCATATTCATGAGGTACCATCAGCCATTACCGCTAATGGACATCTCGCATCCTCGTCACAGTCGGTTTACTTCCACGAGAGGTAATTTACGTTAATGCGATTGTCGAATGGAAAATAAGTAAACAAATGTTATATTATAATAAAAAAAAAAACAAACATGATGAGATAATGATGGTGGTATTCTCCATTAAATATCAAATGAATCGTAAAATCACATTTGCGATGATTAATACTCGCCAGGTAAAGTTCATCTGCGATACACCCAGATGGTGGAGTGTAATGAACTGTCCACCCACGCAGCAACCAATATTTGCCACCATCATTCTCAAGCGACGAATTGGTGAATAATTTAAGGTCCCCCCGAATTCCAAAAGAAATAACAAATCTTCATTTATTGTTGACCTATTAAAACGCTGACACATTACACACTTTACGTTCAAAGTTCAAATAGTGATACACCCATCGTCGTCATCGTCGTTCTTCACCTTCAGAAGCCAAATGCTTTTAAAATTTACTAGAGTCGAAAAACCTAATGAAAACATTCGAATTTGATATATCATAAACGCAAACATATTTCTGTTACTTTTTTTTAAATCATATCGTCAATTCTGTGACCTCTCTCGAACCCATCGGTTACGGCTATCGAAAGTAACTTTCGTAATTTGTAATCAGAGTTTTGATATAATTAAAATACTCTACTCAAAATTAGAGGCATCAAAGTCGCTCAGCTCACATCAAACAATGAATGTGACCGTCGTTTAATGCGTGCGTTACCTTGTTACATTTTAAGTGCTTTCTAATTAGACGATAATCCGATTTCGGTTCGTCACGATCGGAAGTAACTTTTGTAATTACTTTCAGAGTGAGCGCTGTTATTCGATTAATTAAAAATAAATCAACTTAAAGGAGAATCAATCGTTGAAGATATTGATTGTAAAATTTAATCATTAAAATCTGTAAAACACAGAAAGTCGTTAGTCCGGCTTCGATCAATCCGGTTTAAAAATATTCAAAACTAACTACATTTTAATAGAGAAAAATAAATGAGTACATAAAATAAAATCTGTTTTCAAGTCCTCTTTAAATTAAGCAACTAAAATATTTTATATTTGCAATATATCTTATGAGAACATTTAAGTTGAATTGTGTTCTAAATTCGTGTTTCCACTTATGAATAAGAATTGAATGATTCATTAATTTTGATACACAAACTACGTTGGCCAATAAATATAATGTTTAAAGTTCGTTACCTAAGTAACGGATTAAGAGTATTAAACTGGATTTCCGCAACTCTTAGAATTGGAATTAACTTTCGTGATAGTAATTGGAATGTGCGTTATTCTTGATAGTCGAAATTGCCGGAGAGGTGCGCTCTTTGTTTCGTTCGTTGGAAGAGTAGTATCGGAAAGAGGAGGAGGAAGTAAAGAACAAATTGGCTTACCTTGAGGCCTACTATAAACAACTCTTGCTAACGTAAATTCCGAATGTAATCCGCACAGGAAGCAGTATATACTACTCCCCGAGGGATTACTAACCATTGTACGTTCACTGCTTGTACTAGGCGGCGTTGGAATGCATCTATCACCATTAGAAGCATTCGGATCGGTGACTGGTGCCGGCACATCGTATCTGGAAGAAGAGAAACAAAATAAAAAAGATGACACCCAAAAAAAAAACTGATGATTGTTGTGTTAAATCACATGGTCTTAGTTGAATATTTCAATAATCTTCAGAAAAATATACGGGTAGAAATACCTGCTATTAACCATCATTCATAAATATACTCGACGAGACCCAACCCAGAACGCTGTCAATAATAACAATGACGTTGTCTTATTGATTTTCTTTTACAACTGTTAAGATTTCGTAAATTGCAATAGTTTCAACATTTTAACAATCAATTATTATCATTTATCAGTTTTTATCACTGTTACCCTTTTGATCGAAATGAACTAATAAATTTTATAAATAAATAAAACAGTTGTTCTTGATTAGCACTGACACGAATTGCTTTTCTTTATTGATTTATTGTTCAATTAGCGAGAGATTTTACATTCGTGGACGCTTTTTTCACATTGACATCTGTATCTCCGTCACGGTCAATTTACCTCAACGCCAGAAAGAGGAAAGATACCGGAGAAGGTAATTTATCCTAATGGAAAAGACGAGATATCTTCCTCTAATGGAATAATCTCTTTCTTTATGTATATAATTAAATCAACTTACGACGGCTCTCTCTACAATTCTATTCTTTGATCATATTTCTTACGTACAACACTAAATACATTACTTTTTATGAAAGATTTACAAGTGTGAAAATGTGCTTTACTGTAATAACAAATATATTTTTACTAGAAATTTTTACAAGACTTAAAACTATAATTTTCACATATTTATTACTAAATAATCTCTGTTTTAAAAAAAAAATACCTAATAACAGATTTTAGTTATGGGAGTTTAACAGATAATTATTGTTTTTTTCTCTTTAATGTATATTATTAATAATAAACATCTTTATTTGCTCACACGCATTGCATGTAAGCTGCATACAATTATTTGTTTAATTATCGTAATATTCTTATTATATAATTATTTATATAATTTTAAACAAGAAATATTATTATTTAAAAAAAAATGGTCATTTTGTAGACGAAAATTTAGTTATAAAAATAAATATAATTTAAAGTGAAATAATTCTGGAAATTTTTAATATCTCGGTTTATGACAACGTATATGAAAAATCGTTACATATTTGTGTATTGGAGCATGTAAATTGATGGCACTGAAAAATGAAGAGTTAAGTGAGTTCAGATTTGAACACTTCCTCCATTGATTTCATATAACGCAGTCTACTTGAAGACCTTAAATGTATATATTTACTATATGCAAACGCATTCTAAGCGCTTACTGTAAGTGTAATTTCATATAGGTTTGTATAAAAAAAGTATTTTTTCGTATGATTAATGCAATAAACGTTATTAATATTCTTATCGTATAAATAAATTTATTTAAAATGCATATAGGAATTGAAAAATAATGGTTTCTTCATGATAGAATTAATATATTTAACTGTGATAGATAAGAGTTGAAATGATCACTTATTGGAGATGTGCAGACTTATTGTTGAATCCTGCGGGGATGGGTGTGTGATTGGTGATGGTAGTGCGCATAAATAAATTACCTTCGTCTCTCGAGTGGAACTCGCTCTGCCTCCAGCGTGTCCCATTGCTGTGCCAAATGATTAACGCATTTGGTGCAGCTGAGCACACGCCCATGCGAATCCATGCAACTGTTCTCTGAAGTCCTGGCGACGGTTCGCAGGATGGGGAAGTGCATGGCATGCGAATTCATGCCCTCGGGACTAGTGCTCAACCATTCCATCTGGGTCCGAAGAAACAGACCCGCACAGATGTAGCACCTGTAGTTCTGAGGGGCCATACTCTGCCCGTTCGCTTCCGGGGCGGGCGAAGAAGTTCTCGTACTTATTTGAGAGGTGCTCGCCTGCAAACGATTAAAAACATAAAAATATGTTATGAAGAAGAACAAACATCTGTGGGTTTATGGAGGGATTTACGTGGAAGAGACAGGACAACAAATGTTTGGACTAATAATTAATAATCAGCAGATTGAAAAATGTACGAACTTAATGAAAATAGAGACGGTAGCAACCGAAACGTGTCTCCTTCCTTCCTCTATCCAAACACCATTCAAATTGGGATCAACGCGTTTGCGTAACAGATCGAAATCTCTTGTTTCTTGCTTTTGTTTCCCAACGCACCAGACGCTTTGAACACCCATCATGGGTGAAAGGGGGATATTGAGCAATTAAAAGTGTCTTAACAAACACATTAATTCAGCAAAGCAAACGCGTTTCTTATTTCTGTATTTATTTATATATGTACGTTTTCCCCGCTGGAAATGCGGTTACGCCAAAGTTTCGTTTCTTTTTATTCATTTTTGTTTTATTATTTCCATCGTAAGCTTCAAAGCAGCGTAAAGCATTTCTTTTTCCCCGTTTTCGTTTCGCCGTTCCCTCTCCTTATTCCTTTCTACTTCCTTTCGGCAAACATTTTCTTTCGGCTAAAAATATAATATATTTTTATAGCTGCCGCCATTTACCCTCCATGCAACTTATATTATGCTCAATATAACGAAATCGCCTCGCCGGGCGAGCGGCTATATCGAGCGAAACTCCTCTCCTCTCCCATCACTGCTTATACCAAGAAGGAATAAACAAGGCTAGGGTCAATACATATGTATGCATGTTTGTTGTAACTCTTCTCTTTCTTACTTTTTTTTTTTGGTGGATTCGCCGGTTACATTTATTATTTAACATTGAAACGTGCACAGTAAGTCCCATCCATTATTCAAACATTTGCAGAAACGAAATACGTTCGGAATAAACTATTACAATTATAGTTTCTAAAAGCATTAGTCATCTTGCAACAAAAATAGTTGATATAAATTATAAAGTTATAACATATTTACGGACAATTTATAATGAATCATGTTTGAGAACAACTTTTCTCAACTTACAGATCACGAAATGACAGCTGTCACCTTGTAACACAATTTTATGTAATAAGGAATTACAACTGTAGACGAATATGTTGCGCGGCTAACATGTTGAGAAACGCTGATTGAAAGTTTTCTTTTCCAAATAAGAACACGAATTACTCAATTAAGAAATTTTTAAATCATCAAAGTACCATCATCTCTCGAAATATTGTCGTTTAAAGCTATAAAATGTTCGCAAATTATCAAAAATTATTAGATTTAATTAAATCTTTCAAATAGCATGTGCTTTCAAACCTTTTGGTGCTTTTTTTGCAACCAATCGATTTCTAAGAACTATTAAAACATATAATATAAAAATTAATATAAAATGTAATCTTTCAAATCAAGTGTGTGAGCTATTTTGTACGTTGTTTGTTTTTTTCAAATGCAAAATATTAATCTAATTTCTTGCAGATGATTTTGTCTATATACTTTTTTTTCATAATGTTTTCTAGAATGTGGAAGATGTATAAGTTTGATGTCTTAATTTAATGTTAATTAGGAAACATGGAATTACCGGCTATCAATTTCAACTCAAGTTAAATGTAAAAGTATTTGTTATAAATAACTAAATTTAACAGACGAAATATTTATTATATGTTTACCGAAACTAAAAAGTTGTCGGTGCCAAAACATCATGTAAAATACGAATACATTACAACATTATTATTTATATGCAACAAATCATCTTCTATTTTAAGTAAATACAAAAAAAAGTAAAGTTTAAAAAATATACAATTAGATTGTTTGACTGCTTTGTATAAGGAAATTCTACTATAGTGCGGCTTCAGTATAGTCCGGTTTAAAGCTACATAAATTGAGCAAATTAAAAAGAAATTTCTGAATAAAAATATTTTTGTATACAATTATCGTTTTTTTTCTGTTTGTGTCATTTTAAAGTCCTCGAATAATCCGGTATCGGCGGAATTATGCGATCTATTTCATGGAAAATATGTTTTACGAAAATAATTGTAAGTCTCAAGTTGACATCTCTGTTAAAATAGTATGTCAATATTATGAGTCATTTTATATCTAAATTAATGGAGAAGTGAGAAGGTAACAAATTCAAATATGGTAGCTGCGTTTGACGTAAGCATTGGATAAAATTGGTTCACCCGGTATATAATTAATGCCGCGTGCCTCATTAGGAGATCGTGCATGTCCTCGCTTAATTCATATTCATAGAGGCTGATGCGCTTAAAACATGGGCCACGCCACGGAATTTGCATCGATGAAGATTTAATAGGACTGATTAATTCCCGATTTCCTCTTACACGCGTTGTCCGTCCACCACCACCTCATCACGGTATACTAATTAATATTTCCTGATTCACAAATAACTTGCAATCACGAAGACTAATTACATTGCAACGTATAGCCTGAAGAAATGCAACTGTCGTGTGTTGGAAAAGTCACTTCATTTGCAAATTTGATTTAGAAAAAAAAAATAATTTTCTGAAACAATATCCGGAAAATTGATATTTATCACCATTGTGTTATGTTTTTCCTTTCACCTGGTGAATAGAAGAGGTCGCTGAACGTCGAGGTTGGCTCCCCATAAATCGTGAACGGAAAAATCCGCCCACAATTAAATCGCATGATCGTTGCTTTTGGTGCTGCGCTGCTATTCAAAGAGCTCATAAATATTCTCGACCATCTGCACTGTTCGGATTTAAATATTGTATTTTCAGGGCGGATCGAACGATGTTCAATGCAAGACCGATGTACATTATTATACTCTTGTACATTAATAAAAAAAAAAGAGTCATATCTAAATCATATAAAACTGGTCTTCATTTATAGCATGGCTCCATCTATATTTACAACTCCCGGACGAAATACTCCGTTTCCGTTTCCGCATAAAGTCCAAATTGGTTGACCCCTTTTAATTCGAAGCTTTGCTCGAATGCGAACTCATATTTTCCATTACTTTTTTCCTTCGACGAATAATGCGCAGCCGATGTGAAAACAGTAAACAGGAAAACGTGGATCATGCACGATCACCCAGCGTCAGGATTGAAGTAATGCGATTAGATCATTGTGCATTAAGCTGGAAGCGTTGAAATATTTACTCTCATTATTTTTTTGCTTTGCTATGTTTGTTTCTTGCTTACAGCCCGAACAAATTAACAATGATGCATTTATCGCATTAAATATTTAAACTTTCCAGGAAGTTGAGACCGGAGGCGCCGTATACGCAACTTCCATTTTACACTCGGCTTGTATAATTCTGTTTTTCTTCAATTATAAATATAACAACAACAGCACTTCAACAGTACAACAAAATAATTACTAAATCGTCTTTCATTTAGCTTAATTTTGTACAAATTTATATGTAATTTATTTCATACATATTTTAATTTGTAATTAATTTAATAATAATTATAATTATTATAATATATTATCGTTTTCATAAACACAAAGTTACAACTGAAACAATTGTAATAAATTAATTAAACTATGAGCTGTGATTAACTAAATATTATTTGGAAACCATTTGAACGCGTGCATTATTATTAATTATATATGTAGAATTAAACTTTTAATTTATTTGCGTCGCCGTCGATTGTTTCTGTTATAATTACAATACGCATTGTGCGTTTACTAATTACGTTTTCCAATATCGTTTGTCTGATGTTGAAATGTATAGTTCGGTTACGCCCTAAAACTCGATTACTTACGACATTAATTCTTCTTTAAATCTTTAGAAAATTGCTTTAAACTGAAAACTAATATGACATGAATCTTAATTTTTTTCAATTCTATAATCGTAATCTATAAATTAATCATCAAGTAGGTCGTAACATTCAGATTAATAATTTTGTGTCAATTTATGTGTACAATTAAAGTGTGCTTTGTTTATGAAGTGACAACTTGGCATATAGATAAATACGTTTACTACATAAATTGATCTATGCATTTTATATTATGCATATTAATTTAGTAATCAAACATTAAGTTTGTAATAGACCAGCGTTTCTAAATCTATGAGTCGCGTTAAATATTTAATGGGTCATGATTTGACAGCTGTCACGTTTGTCAAAGCTACAAAACTTGTATATTAAAAACAATTGGGTAGCAGTACAACTACAAAAACTGCTCAAGATGTTCTAAATTTTAAAATGAATCACTTATATCATATATAGGTATCCGCAGACTTACGAACTCCCGGACTTACGAACAAAATTCTAAAAGCTCTAACTTGTTACAAAACAGATAGTACACCTTCCAAAAAGATTATATTTTATCAAAGAAATGATCAATTTTTGTGTGGACAGTTAATTTTTTGAAGGTGTACTATCTGTTTCGTTGTATTTGTTTCTTTTCTCGTAAATAATTGTGATGTCTACATTGAAAAGTATTTGTAAGTAAGTATTTAGTTTAATATATAAAAGTAAAACCATGAGAAAGTGTGAATAAAGTATATTTGAAATCTTTAAAATTCTCCCGGTTTACGAACAAATTCAACTAACGAACTACCCTTTGGAACGGAACTAGTTCGTAAATAAATAGATATTAAGCAAAAAATGACAGATCAAATATTTTTCATCTTTTACTTGGAAAACGTGTGATTTAAATAGAAATAAATAATACTAAACTATGTAATAAAATGATAGAATTGATAAGAATTTCTATGCATTGAAATACTTATATGCCACTGATGACTTTAATATAGTATCAATTAAGCTAGTAATTGAAGAACTTCGAAATGTGGAATAAGGAACAATAAACACTTAAATAATGAAAGTTTCCTTACGGTTCATGTAGTAGATATCGTCCATCGTCTGCCACATGCTAATATAAACTTCTTGATCTAGGGAATGGGAATTATACATAAAACTTTTAACTACCGAATTACGTTCGAAACGGCCTATATTCATTGTTTTAAAACACATAAAAAAAATTCAACAAATAATCAGGATACGTATGATTCAACAAATGAAACTTTTCCGCTTGAAACCGGTTTATCTGGGAGCCGACCGATATTGGAAACGCAATTTACCTAAATTTAGAACCAAACATTATTTTTATTGCCGATAAATACCGTACCGCCTGTTATAGATAACGCGCATTTGAATAAAAATCAAATCGAATCTATTAATATTATGATATTCGTGGAGTCAATGAATCTAATCAGACAGAAATATAAAAAAAAGTAATGAATAAAATAAAACGACATCATTTGAATCAGGTCTATCTATAAAACTTAACGGTTTCGATGATTCAATTTAGATATAAAGACATTGAATTAATTAGTTTCTTGACAATCAGAACTTTTCGTTTAATTTATAACAAGCATATCGTTAATTTATTGCAATCTTTAGATGTATATCTTAATATATTTTATCTAAATTATTTACTTTATTTTTTTCTAAATAATTATAAAAAATTATACGAATTGATTTATGTATATTTTCAATGGGATTTTACTCATATTATAACGTGCAAATAAACTTTCCAGTGCTAAGTATGCATAGACGGATAAGGAATGACTTCAGAAATGCAGTGGAACTTCGCTTAACGAGCAAAATTAATTGTAAGAAAAATGACTCGCTTAACGAGCGATGTTTCGCATAACGAGTGACGATGAGAAGAGAAGTCCCAAACCCGCGCTTGCTACATCATTTTTAAAACTTGTGTACACATATTTTTGAATATGTATATGTACACGTATTTTTGAATATGCTTCATTATACGAGTAAAAATACGGAAATTTTGGATCGGATTAAACTCGTTAAGCGAGGTTCTTGTATATCTCAGACGCGTGTTACTTAATATGATTGATGTCTAACATCAATTTCCCAATCTAAATGATCTGAACGTAATATTTGGATTTCATTATTTCACGTAGACCACTATCAGTCTCAATGGGGCAATAGTTTAGTCAATGGATATATCTAAAAAAAAAATGATTTATTTCATTTATCTGAAGCGATGAGTGCTTTGAGATAAAGGTATTAGTACTTAATAGAAGCTATAGCATAGTCTAAAACTTTGAAGGTTGAACTACAGCATTTCTAATTTTATTTTTTCTTAAATAGGTAAAAATTGTATTTTATCACCTAAATAAAATATCTTTGATTTTTGGCTGAAATTAGTGCCAATTATTATTATTATTTGAATATTTTAACTTCCTCGGTAGAAAAAATTATATAAATACTTGTTTCGTGTTGTATTTGTGGTGAATATTGTAGTGTTGTAAGAGGGAAGGTTATGAATGTTGAAGTAATTAGTGGGTTTTGGAAATCGATGTAAAATCGTAGTAGTGTCTTCTTACCCTAGCTAATTGTCGTAGTTCATTGGCGGCTTGCTTCTTCTTGCTGGTAACGATTGCAGACTTATTGATCTCGTACGGTTTATACCTAATATCAGATCCTGCACTATTCGCTGGCGATTTCACAGTACTTGGCCTGGACGAGTTGCTGTTGTGATATTGCACATCATTAATGGATACGTGGTTATTAACTAAAGCACTAGGATCACCACCGAACACTTGATGTTTTTGCGGTATAGACTTATAACAGATTGAACACACTTGAACCATGCCCTGCGGACTAATAGGACTAGCTCCTGGTGGAGGCTTTAAGGTCTGGATGAATGGAAAATACGGCTCCTTCTCCGGGTTCGGGCAGCAATAGAGCAGCCGTATGCTACTGGAAGGATACTCCAAGGCGCAGGTATAGCATATGAAGGTGGTGGTGTCGATGGCGGGCGCCTGCCTCTTCCGAAGCGTATAGTTGCGTTCGTAGTGAGGCTTTCCTTGAGTCTGGTAGGTGTGCCACTGCTTCACCAGGTGCTGCTGACACTCGGTGCAGCCCTGCACCTTACCCGAGGAGTCCATCGGTCTGGAACGGCTCGGCCTGGGGTGAAGCATCAGGCTGGGGTAGAAAGGCGTTCCCGGCGTCTCTGGCAGTTGTTTGGCGGCGATGAAGTTCAAGCTGCCGCGCTTGAACTCATCGCCGCACACGTAGCAAACCTCCGTCACGGAATTCTTGTCCGGCATACTCAGGTCTAAGATGTCCGTACCCGTTGAAGAATTGGAATTTTGATTGTGAAAAACAGGAACTGATGTATTTACCGGCGAACTGCGCGTACTCGTGCATGTGTTTCGCAGATCTAAGGCCTCCTGTACATCGCGATCTTCTCGCTCAGTCGTCGATACCTGAAACTCAACATTACCATCTCATCATTCACATCATTAAACTAAAGACAGTTTACATCTAACATCTCCCCAATAACCGTAATTGCAACCTCAATAAACGATGATACGCACAAAAACGCTTTACTATAAATAATATTTAAAAAAAAAATGCACTCTATAATTACATTTCCAATCGCAATCTATAGATTGTTTATTTGATTTCCACCAAGATTAGTATTGAATCGGAACTTAAATAAATAAAAAGATAAACATATTTATTCCAAAATTAACCGATGCAACATCGACAATATTTATTTTTGATTTGTAACAACCAATTTATATGATCAATCGTAAATACATGTATTTTTTATATGAGATTGGATCATCGCATCGAAACTAATTAATTACGAAACCAAACAAATACAATTTATAATAAATACAATAAATGTGTATTTCAATTTGAATTAATATTTGTAATTTGTATGAATACATACATACAGAGGACGGACGGAGAGCAACTTGAGGGTTCAAATACACAAGACGTACTGAATCGTTGATAATAAACTCGTTGATATAAAAACAGAGCTGTATTTATTTATTTTTGATAGAGTACCAGGAGGATCTTTAGATTAACATAACAGTGTTATCTCTAAATACATTTACATATATATATATATATTTGTATGAGGAGTTGACCAAAATATTATCGAAAAATAAATTAGTTCAGAATTTACAAAAACAAAGCTGCTTTTAATGTAGTAGAGATCAAAGTGCTCAGTTGATAACAATAACCCGGGGTCCTAAAGCAATAAAACAACGTGACTAGCAGCTCGCCAATTATCTGTATATCTCACACAGATAACGCCAGCATTCGGTGAATCCTGAAGAAAGGAATGTAAACGATCCTCGCCCGCGTATTTATCAAAACGTCAAAGATATATGACAATGACATCTGTAGCTGTGCGGGTAGAGAGTGTAGGGTAACAACAACAGCAGCAGCAGCGAAAGAAGCGAACCCGGGGCAATTTGTCTAAACCGGACTCTTTGAAAAGGTTTGCGAGCTGATCTCATTAGTTATCCCGACCTCGAACAGATTAATGGTCGCATGAACCGCAGCAGGTCCTTCCTTCACCCGATTAAAATATGATCCTTCCGTCTTGACAGAAGGAGCTCCCTGACAATGGCAGCCAGCGCCTTTCTAAAATTAGCGCTGCATTCATTACGTACACCTGAACGGCCACCCAAGATAACTTTTCTTTCTCCCATTGCGTAAGCATAATTATGACCTTTTCATGACCGGCAGACACCGTGACTTGACGGGACACAAAAGGCTCGCGTGGGCGTCGATGAACGAATGTCCGAGAATGCGAAACATACAAGAAAAAAAAAGAGTAACGAAGATCGAAGACAAAAATAAAATTGTTTTTTTTTCTTCTTCTTTAACAATCTATTCCGAAGCATGAGAGAATCTGGAAATATGCAGATCGCCGAAAGATAAATAAACATTGAGCAATAAATATTTGCTGAATAATTAGCGTGCGGTTAATAAGTTGGAAAATATATTATGGGAATAATACCACTTCTTCTTCGAGCAGAAACAATTAACATAAATTATTCACGAAAATAGCGCCGTAATTGTTTGTTGTTATTTCTTTCATTAACCGCAACTTCCATATGAATTAATCTGTTTTCGCAATAAACAAGTTAGAAAATTAGATTTACCAACAAGTTATAATCAAATGATTAGAAAAAAATAAATCATTATTGTATTTAAGAATACAATAATGTTGAAATATTAAATTTTTTTTTACTATTGTTTCGCAACAGCCCTTTCACAAGTTGCATAATAAAACAAGTTTATCAGAAATAAATAATGAATCGTTAAATTTATTAATTTAATTTAATAACGTGAATGTGAAATATTCTCTATCCATATTCCTTTTTAGTTCACGAATGCAAGCTCATCGATCTGCCACAAATGGTGGAGACTGTAACCAGACGAATTGGGACAACTCCACATGAACGTGACTCATTAATACATCCTTTTTTTTGCATATAACTATGCTTTGCACAATTATTTTCAATGAACAAATAAAACAAATTTATGAAAGATGATGAATAAGAAAATATGCTTGCTACGCCGAGAACGCTGCTCTCTTGGCATTTTTAGAGAACACGATAATTCGTCCGTTTACATAAGGTATTTAGGAACAAAATCGGGTGACTTGATAAGGCCTTGCGTGACGCAATCACTTGACAAAATTAGGCTATCAGCATGGAGCACACACATACACACTCCAATGGGTTTAAGTATAACGCGCAAGGATACGATTTTTTTTCTCGTAATTGTAATATATAAAAAAATACTATGAACAAAATGTATTTATATATATATATAGAACAGCCATAAATATATTAATCGGAAATAAACTGATAACGGTTTCAATTTCGTTCGACTTTCTTAACGGAAAGTCTTACACGTACGATGAATTATACATGTGCTCATTGTTTTGCAGCGCATTCGATTTTCTTATACTTGCTTGCAACAAAGACTTAGTATACTTAATATATTAAATCAGTATTACTAATCAAATTAATACGCTTTAAGTTTATGAATGATTGAAATACGTTTTTGTTTTAAGTACTAAACATTTTAAATAATAAACCATGCCGAACGATTGCGAAGAAAGAATGTATTGTTTAACATTGTTATTAAATATTGGGGCCTGTCGAGTCGCTAACTTACGTAGTTTTGCACTTAATGACGATAATGTTCGGAACTTGTGTAAGTAGTTGGTCAAACTGCGCGACGCACACGAAACTCGCCATTATTCAACCGTCACATGCGAAATGCCTCCAAGCATATTACAACATTTTCGTGCACATTAAAAGAAAATCGGTTTTGCATCTGGGCCGTCCGCACTCGCTCGATACAGTTTCAACTCTACAACAACATCCTCGACTACATCCATCAATTAGTACGAAAATAATCGTGATACAGATCTAATCGCCTCCAGATTCGAATCGACAAAACCTTTAACTTAACTCATTTTCATGCTTCAGTTGAAACGATCGCGTTCACGATGTATTTGTGGAGTAATTCGCAATTTACATTATTGTGTGGAAATGAAACTGAAATCTTAAGTTGAGCAATTTTTTTAACCACAAGACATTTATTGAATGGTTTATTAATTTTGATTTCTAAATAATTATCTTGACAAACTATCAAATGTTTATTAAAGTACTTGTCGTTTACATCACTAATTATAGATACAAAACAAATAATTTAATAAATCTAATAAAAAGAGATTCACGACAAGATATAAATCTTCGTGGTCAAGCATCAACAACTAGTAATTAGCATATAAAAATAAACAATCAATAAATGTATACGAGTAAAAATAACAATATCTAATTATTATTAGTCTTTCAGTCATGACAAACGTTTGACTTGTTTATACAGTTCGAATCATTTTGTTTTATACAGTGACGATTCTTTTTGTATGATCCTCTTTTAGTCCGATTTCAAACAGTCTATACAGCATATTTGCGAACCCGTTACACGCACTATACGAGGTATTTCTGTATTTGAGATTCAATATTTGTCTCGTGATGCCAAAGAGTACTGATCGATTACATCACACATATATAGCGTAATAATATCGAACATTAATATAATTTGGAGTTGCGAAATTAAAATCTGACCTGAAGCTCAACAGGTGCTTATTAAATGTTCTCGGAAGGCGCCAGGCGGCAATGATTAATGTTGAAATTCTCGTAAGATTGCAAAATATATGTTTTTTTTTCTCCTAGGCGCAATTAGGGAAAATTGCGAGCGAGGAAAATCGACCCAAACCGATTTCCTCCCAAGCAAACCAAATTGAGCATGAGCGAATGCTGAACTTACCTGAGATGGTCTCGGGGATGCTTTGAATTTGACCTCGTCCCTCCTGCTGGGCGGTCGTACCGTGACGACGCCGCTCTCATTGTTCAGACCAAGAACTTGGGCCGCGTATTCCCCTTGGATGCCCATGTCCGCTCCGGTGTAGGGTCCATTGTCGACCCTCTTCAGCCAGTACAGCCTTTCCGCGTGCGGTCTAGACGCCCTCTCGTAGGCGTCCCATTGCTGCAGAAGCAGGGAGTAGCAGAGGTTGCAGGCGGATACGGCGTAGTCGCTTTTAGGGATGTACCCGTTCGGAGGTTCGTGGGTCTCGAGGAACGGAAAGTACGGTTCACGTGGTTTGTTGGGTATCGGCTTGATGTGGAGCCAAAACGATTGTGGGTGTCCCCTGTTGCCGCACACGAAACAAATTTCTTCTGACTTGAATGATTCTGTATCCTTCGGGAGTTTGTCCATTGCCTGCATTTCACGCTGCAAAACAAGAACAAGAAAATTCCAAAATTGAAACATCGATACACACTCTCACAACTCACATACTATATATACATCTACTACAAAAGGTCAGCTCGGATCGCGATTCGATCCATCGCTGATATTGAAGTTGTTAATCCACGCCAACTTCAATCAGCTTACAGGTAATTTATTCGGGATTATTCATCGTATGCAAATCATATTCTATAAGCCACTTATTCGATAAAATCTGCATATTCACTGCATACGCCTGACACACACTCACAGAGCGTATTATCAAAGAAAAATGTGTTTCTTTGAAATTGTCACAAAACAAAAATCAGCGTAATCAATCAATTTCCTTGTATCATATTCTTCAAATTCTATATACATTTAACAATTTTATACTTCTTCTACATGAAATCGTCAACTATCAGCTTAGTTTTCGCAATTATATAAAATGAAGTAACGTTGATCTCGATTAATACTAAATGCAAATATTGATAATTCATATTTTCCCAGTAAAATGATTACAAAATATCTTGTATATTGAATTTACGGCGTAATGCGCAAATAGACGGCGAATGGGACAAATATTAACTTGAACATGCAACACGCGGATCGTGCACTTCTTGTACCGTGCCGATAATTGTGGAACATATCGCAAGAGAGTAGAGTAGATTAAGAACTCTGCTCAATTGTGTGTGTGTATAAAAGCGCGCAATGAAAGATAACAGGCCGCGTTTATTATATACAAACATAAAACATTTGCAAATAATACTGACCTACGAGGAGAGACCGAGGGGAAAAGTACGGGCGAAAAGTCAACATCAAGAGCAGATAAACCTTGGGCAATTATTCCACGCGCATTTTTATTTCCCTACTTTTCGTACATTTTTACATGAATTGTGTAAACATTGTTTAGCAATTAAGTTAAATTAAAATAAATACAAATTACTAAATCGAGAACGCTACACGAAATCCAATTGGGATTAACTAATAATTGTGGATGTGAAATTTTGTAATTACGCAACGAATTAATGAAATCGCTTCGCGAAATCTAATTTAGGGGGAATAACAATAGATGAAGTCGCTTTACGATGATGAAGTCCTCTTCTCTTCTTAACCATCGTTTAATTTGAAAATGGAAATAATTGGACATTGTTACTAAAATGTCGATTAAGTTTGCAGCAAACTGTGTAATTACTTTGTGAGATGTCAAGCAAGCTTCCTCGTGTGTGTTTTTTTTTTGTTTACGTAGTAGGCGCGATATCGAAATATTCGAGTATAAACCAGTAAATTGAATTCGGAGATTAGACGGGAACCGGAGATCACTGATAATTCCGAGCCGTAATTACTATAAATACGAGCGCATCTAGATGCAGGAAATCTCCATTAAATCAGTAATCTAATGATATAGACAATCATCTTAATTTGATGAATGATGAAATCGAAGAATGTAATTGCTGTTTTCTTGTGATAATTGAGGCAATTGCGATCGAATTACTACTATGAGGTGTCGGGAATTCTTGAAAGCGTTTTTTTTTAAGCCATCTGCGAGTGAAAACGTTTTAAAAATAAATCAGAATGTAAACTTGTAATTATTCAATGGCCGTAATTTTGACCGAGATAAATATTCTAAATTTAATAACAAAATGTGTAAGCAAATCTCTTCATCAAATTTTTCAGTTAATATGATGAATAATTTACAGTAAAGAGCAAATAATTCGGTTTACGTACATAAATCATATAAGCGAACTTAATTGCATCAATCAATAATACGAATTAGCGATTTTTTTTAAACATACGTCTTTTCGTTCGCACGAACGTACTTTATATATTCGGCATCATATGCTTCTTACATGAAACAAATATACAAGCTGATTTCATGCATATTTTTGTTACGTGACTACACTCACGTGACGTTGTTATACACGTTTAACGGGAATTATTAAAATTTATATTCGGGCTAAAAAACATAGTGGATAGTTTTTGTAAAGATTTGCAAATGTCCGGATTCACTACAGTTCCTCGATTTATCCAGTTCAAACAGTGGCTGAACCAATTTTCCACACTATTGCTGTATATTTAAATTTGTAGTGGAACGGAAATGACCAGAAGTTTAGAAATTTGTCAAATAGACACAAAAAAGACAATTTCTCTCCATAGTTGCAGAACAGTGAAATATAATACCTTGTATATTTGCCCTGATTATATACATTATTCATACCGATAATCGTTGCTTTACAATCTGGATATTCAAGAACGACGAAGTCCAAATATAGACACGGCCGAAAGATTGTGCAACTTCTCTTCCGCTTCAAAAAAAAAAAAGAAATTCCACGAAGTTAAAGCAGTGGTTCCAAAACGGAACGCAGCCGGCACCCTCCTACGCATTCAAGGTGCGTCCGACGACTTTTACGAACCGGAAGGGCTTAGTTACGAAAATCATTTTCACCTGGTATCGAATAGGCACTTTTTCTTTCTTCTCTTTACCTGAACGTTGTAACCCACACCTCACGTACCAAATATAACGTCGAATGCGTGACCGCCTTTGTGCGCGAAAGCCTCTCTTTGTACGCTCGACGTACACGAAAATAGTTTGTTTTTTTTTCAGTCGGGCCACGCGTTTTCCGCTGCAAGGATAACGTTAACCATGTACCAATAGTAATGAACAATGGGTCTTGGGAGGTTTTAATTGAAAAGAGAAATTTGCCGGAATATACAAAAGAGCGTGCATACATAAGTTATATACTTTTCGGGGCGATACCGGTTATGTACTCTTCTTTTTTTCATTTCGTTAATACTATTTTTCATTGACGTGTATCCCCTGCAGAAGGGATGAAATTAAAAAAATATATATATAAAAGAGGGGTAGCTATTACACTCATCCTATTGTATCAGGTTTTTTTTTTCTATCGCACAAAAAAAAAACTAGCGGAGCAGCTCAGGTCAGTGAACCTCTTTGGTGATGTTTCAATTTATTTAGAGGAAACCAAGTTTCGGTATATACACCGTTAACTTTAGCTTTTCTTTTGCGTTCCACGTAATTGTAAAATAACAATATTTACTTAATTTACCTCCATAATTCTGTTTTTCTTCCTCTTCCGTTTATAACAATCATGTAATTAATTATTTCCGTTTGTTTCATGTATTCTCAACTTTTTTCTATTGTCTTTATCACTTTAACAATTTGCAACTTGCATTAATTTCATGCATTAATTTCAAACAAAATATTTACAAAATGCAAAAAATACAACGTTTTTCAAGCAAATGTACTTGAAAGTATAAAATATATAATCCTCGAATTCACAGAATTAATTTATAATCTTCGATTGAATCAGCGACGGTCACAAACCTCGTAACGATTGAATGACTTTCAATGATATCATTTTTTTTTTGCTCAAACTAGAGAATGACTTGTAATAAAAGTTTTGTGCGTCAGTTTTCTGAAAATATACAACCAAAATATGTACGAAGTTTAAAGTCAAAAAGATGGTCAAAATAAATGGATGTTTCTTTATAACTTCCGATTATGCAATTATGTTATGTTTAAATCAATTCAATTCTGCAAGTGAATAATATGTATGTCCTCTCCTTTTGCCTCTGTATTTAACAGCCAAAGACATTATACAATCACAATTTATTTAAGGCATTGTTTTCAAGTGAATAATAGCTATGTCCTAGGAACAACAACAACAAATATCTAAAAGTGATTCAATGAAGTTAATAATAGATTTTGGTTCAGCTAAAAATTTGTAATCGATTCAGAAATTTGTTTTGATATGATTACACCAAGATCCCGGACTGTTTGAAACCGGACTAATCGATTAACTAAATACAGTGGAACCTTGCTTAACGCAGTTTAATCCGTTCCAAAATTTCCGCATTTTTACTCGTATAGTGAAACATATTCAAAAATACACGTGATATGATGTAGCGGGTGCGCAATCTCATCTCTTCTCATCGTCACTCGTTAAACCATTCATTTTACTCGTTAAGCGAGGTTCCACTGTACATACAAAAGACGTTAAGTTTGTGTATAACAAAATCATTTTGTGTACTAATTTGAATTAGATTTTGCTTTCATTTTGATCAATTGATATTTAGTTTGTTTCAAAATTTTCAATCCGGACTATAGTGAATCCGGATAGATCAAAGCCCGGACTAATCGATGTATTGATGTATATAAAAAAATGATTATATACACCTAAAAATTGAAATACATTGTAAAACATTTGAACTTGTTTCTACTTGATAAATTATAAACAATTAAAACGTGTTTACTTCAACATATAATTAATGATCGTATCGCCTAAGAACTGCATTTACGAAATAACATACGAGAACCACAAGATTTGTTAATTATATAACATTTTCTAACTTGAATGATTCACGCAGGACGAATAAAGAAAAACAAATAATTTTCCAATAAATCAATTAAATTTAGATGGATCATCGATTTACCGTAATTGGGGTACAAATATATGTGTTTCGTTCGGCCGTTTCAATCGATTTTCGTCCAAAGCAATTAAAAATGCACGATTCCCGCATTAATTCTATCGGATGTCCGTAATTATGACACGGTTTGGTGCCCACTGGTCACCTGAATGACATCGCTGAATAATCACAACAATCGGAATCAATCAGTTGCATTAGCGTTAATTGCACGTGCATTCCTACCGTGTTTCCCCATTGCAAGCGTAATTTAATCGAAATGCAGCGACAATGCGAAATAACAGCAAAAAAGCAAATGCTATATACAGCAATACCCCGTATAGTGCGGTTAATCAGTTCCATATAAAAAGAAACAATTTTTTTAGAATTTATTATATAGTAAATCTGGACTAATCGAAGCCGGACTATGCGAGTTATTAATGATTCAAAAACCATACATATCAAATAAGCAAATTTAATAAATTTCAGAGATAAATATATAAAAAATCGCAATGTTAATGTTTCATATTCTTCTAGATAAATTTAAAAATTTCAAATGTAATTATTAAAGTTCAACAGATTCCAATCAAATTTCAATAGGAGATATTCAGTTCCATTAGAGATTAATATTGAGGCTAAAACATTTATTTATCAACATAGACTTATTGCTTTCTTCTTCTATAAATATAATTCTAAATATAGTATGGCAAATAATAAATAATTTACTCGATTTTATTATAGCAAAGTTTTATTTTAATTAAAGTTAAAGTCAATTTAATTAATCATTATAAAATATTTATTTCGTTTTAGAAATATAAGTACTTTTAAATTGTTGATGATTCATTTCTTAACAATGATTTGATATTTTTAACATTGGAAGCGAATTTGAATTAGATAAAACTGCTTTTTGTAATTCTTTTTAACAGATCATAAAGTATTTGTGTTGCAATACTTGTTATTTTTTTTAGGTAGGCTATAATAATTACTAAATAGGTGACAGAATTGTACAATTTTCATGTAATATGAATGAACCAAGGTTGAGCAAAATAGAAAACGTGGATCTTTTGGATTTGGTACTTTGCAGAAAGCAGACTTTTGAGAGGTGAATGAATATGAATAATACCGTTTTAGCTGGGACCTTGTTTTTGCAGCATTAATAATCATATGGTGAGCAATACATATTAAATAGGTCAAAAGTTGAAATTGATTATTAACCAAAAAAAAAATAAACGAAGAGGTTTCGCAATGATTTGATAAGTGGGCCTCACACTCGCAATTGGGTTAAAGAAAAGCGAAATTGAAGGTGTGAAGTGCGGATTCGTTGACCAATAGACGTATTATTGCACAATTAAAAGTCTGGCCAGAAACAGCTGTTAATGGAAGCCCTTATGATCGGGTTGGCTGATTGGAATGTGGGTAAACAGTGGCCGGTTTTTGTGCAACGTTACGAATTGATTTCTGGTTATGAAAGAGAACTTTCGACGTTCCGAGACTGTTTTATGTATATATAGATATGTGTGTGTGTGCAATAAGAGAAATTTAAATAACATTTCGAAACTGCGAACGCTTGCCATCGCTTTTGCAGATGACGTTCCAGGTTTTTCGGTGCGGCCCCCCCAATCATCGTTCTCAAGAGAGGAAGGACAGTCCCGAAAATTCTGGGTTTGGGTCTGAAGCGTTTCGTCGAGAGCTGATGATCAACTTACCTTTGGAAATGACAACGGCGGACCTTCTCCACCGGAATCCAGGAAACGCGTAGTCCCTGCCCTTCCCCAGAATCCAACAGCAACACGAAATGCCCTTCTTCTCCTCTATTGCTAGTTTTATATATGTGTATATATATTTTATATCTATATATGAATGAATATGTGGCTGCTGTGTGTGCTTTAGCGTTTTGGTGTGCGTGTGTGTATATGTAGAGATATATAGATACAAATATATAACTTCTGTGTTCTCTCTTATCTCCTCTTATAAACCGCACACTATATACGTTCACTATATATTCTTCACTAACTATATCATTACCTATAAATATAAAATACGCACTATGTACACACTACACTTACTATCTACCTGCGTGAATATCTTTTCAGGAGACCGACCACTTTGTTTTCATTTAAATAATTGGTTGCTTAAAATGTACAAATTATAAAAGAAACATTGTAAAAATGTAACCATTTCATACTACTTCACTAGAAGCAGCCATCTTGCCTCATTTCCCAACAATGCACTGTCGCGCTGCCAACACAAGTCTACTAACGATAAATGTTACCAGCGCAGCCGACACGCTCCGAAGACGTCCATCCGCATCCAAACCGACCATTGCCCCACCGCTCCCCATTCAAACCAACCCAACCATCACCATCCCTACCAATAGCATGAGCTAACGCAACTACTTTCTATTTCGATTCGACAATTCACCAATATATTGAGAAATTCAAAAACACCAACATTTTAAACTTAACTTTAAAGAAACTTCAAAATTTCAAATATCCTACGTATGCATGGCATATTTATGAATTAGAAAATTTTACTTCGTGCCTTCATAGATAAAATTTTCATTCAAGAATTCAACAAAATCAAACTATACAAAAGTTTTGTAAACGAATACAAGCTGTAGACAACCAAAGATACGTGAAAGCATCACATAGTCAAATAATACAAGGAACAATTAAACAGATACAGTAAGTTTTCGGTTAACGAAGATTTCGGATTTCAAACAAACTCATGTTCTGATAACGAAGACAAAGTTGTCTTTTAAAAATTAAGAAGCAAGTTTAAGCCCCAAATTTGGTTAAATTAAACCAATTACTTTAATTATTTAAAAATTTTATTTACTTTCTTTTTCAGAAAAAAAAAAACAGAACCCAACCATTTATAAATGTAATACTTTTTATACAAATATTGTTTTATCTTCAAATAATCATGTTTAAGAAATCACTAATTTCGAATTAGTTTGTAAATTAATGCGCATTTATAAATGTTAATTATTTAATTAACTATTATTAATAAATATTTTTGTCCATCATTTCATTACATTTCAATTTCAATTTGTATTATTTGGTACTTAGCGACATCTACTTTTCTTCAATGAAATACATACATTGTTCGAAAAAAAAATATGTAGCAACAAACATAAAATTTTAAGAATTAACTGAATTATAATAATTACATACCAATAACTTTATATCTTATTTTTTTGTCACGTATCTGAAAAACAGTTACAGCAAACTCACGTGTGGGAAAACAATGTGACTGTTATTTGCTTGACAGATAAAATAAGTTACGTGACTTACCAATACAATTTGACGATTGTAATCAAAGAAAGTCATGCAATAGTTTTAACATTACTTCTTTAATTGGTGTATTACAATATATTTGCATAATTACTTTATCATTCATTGATAAAAAAATAAGAAAGAATTGCTGCTTTTTTTTTTCATTTGCGCTTAAATGCTCCAAGTTTCAAATTTGATACCGGACATTTAAATATTATTTAAATTGTATAAAATGAACAAAAGTTATATATAAAATATGTATTGTCCTACTGCTATTGATGCATTGATATTTTCTAAATTTAATTTGGAAAATCAGGCTTTTAAGGGTTAATATGTTTGATGTTATAAATACAGGACGTTTTAAGGTTGTCTTAGGCCATTTGTACCAATCCTAATACGTTCGCGTCATCTTTATTTATTCAATTTTTTATGGGTCTTACAAAATCTTATTGGCGTTTAACAGTAGAATAATCTTCTACAGTAGAATACGGCCCTGGTTCAATGTTATATTTTGATTCTTTAATTCAGGATAGGTTTTGTTGCGGGAAATGCAGAAATGAAAGTAAACAATTTGGAGTATTCATGTTTTAACAAGTTGATAATGTAGACATTTATTTAATAAAATATTCGTAATACTATCAATAAAATACTAGAGATGTAATTCTGACATTCATTGTTATTATTATTAATATTATTATTTATTTATTATCAACAGTTAATCGTATATATATAATATAGATTTATGTATCCAGTTTAGGATTAAGCATTGTCAGGCGAAGACAGTTCGTAAATTATACAATATGTATATAAAATAAAGACAATATTGAGGGGGGAAGAAACGAACGCCTGAGAGAAAAGAAATCAAGAGTGTTTACAAAGATGACAATATAATAATAATAGTATAAGACATATATATATTTATAGTATTCGTTTATTTATTTATTTATTCATATTTGTTTTTATCGTCTTCTATTCTTTAAATATCTCTTTGTTTTCCTAACGTCGTGTCCATATCTAAATTCAAACAATTTTGGTCCATAATAAGTTTTTTTTATACTTTTATACAATGTACTTAATTCCTTAAACAGATAGGTGGGCTGCTGTCATTCATATATTCATATTCAATCCATAATTTTCTTTCATTTTTTCATTTAAAATACAAGGGAGTTATATTTCTTCTTCTTCGTCATCATCATTCATTTTTTTTTCATTCTCTTTACATCTACACAAAAAAAAAATTATCACAAGGGGCTCCCTGTATCACCAAGGCATTTTCCAAAGACACCGAGAATCGTCGAAGGCGCACTTCGACGATTCTCGGCTAATACTAATTACATTTTTCTTGTTGTTGTATACGTTCTATAATATATATATATATTCTCTAAGCTTATTTACACTTAACGTCATACCTAACACTAAAGTTTTCTTGCATTGATATACTGACTATATTTGTTTGTATTTTTTTTTTCAGTTAAACTTAATTCTTAACACATTCCTTACAAGCTATCGTACAAGCTATATTTCTATTGTCGTTATTAATAATATTCTTATCAATATTGTTTCCATCTCTCACCTTGTTGTTGATCTTGTATAATAAAGTAAAAAAAAATAATGAATTAACAATCACGTAAGAGGATGAAAGTGGTTTGTCTCAATGTGAGACATACATTTTGTTACATAATTTTTTGTTTGTTAGAAACTAAGAAAGATTTAACCAAAAACAAAATAAGAGTAGAAATAATAATAATAATCACAAATAAACATAAATTTTGAGATCCAATTCTTATAAATGTACAGGTAAATATATAAAAATAATAATAGTAGTAAAAAGGGGAAAAAAAATAATAAAGTTGTAGCGTCTGTTTAGATAATAATGTTTAAAGAAAGATTTTGTTTTTTTGATAATAATGATGCACACTTCGATGAAAACGCCGTTACGAAAAGAACAATTTTTGCGTATATATCCAATTCAAGTTTTTGGTTTTAGTTTTTTTTTCATATCATCAAGCTTTTTGCCTTTTAAAGGTTGCACAGAAACACTATTTCTTCTTCTTCCTATCCTCGTCCTGCTCTCTCTATAATCTTTTGCTCTTAATTAACAGACTTGTTTGAATTCTCCTGGAAAGTAGATCTTTTGAGCCTGCGTGATGTCCGCTCTGCACAAAGGACATCTTTCGCATTTCGAGGCGCACGTGGAACAGGCCAGCATGTGGAAACACGGCAGGAAGGCGGTGTCAATTTGACAGTCCATACAGATGTTACAGGTCAGAGCGTCCAAGAGACGCGCCAATTTTTGGGAGTCCTGCAATCAAAGAGAAGAAAATCATTAGTTATTTCAATACAAGATAAACAAACTGAATCCGCATACTTCGACCTTGAATGAAATTTATATATTGTTGTTATTATAATGAGACAGCATTAATTAATAATTAGCTTCAAGATTTTGCTCTTCAAAATAAATGATTTCCAATTAATGATTTTTCTTTTATATAATATAATATAAATCAGCGTTTCTCAACCTCCTTGCTACGCAAATATGTTTGTTTATAGTAGTCATTGTTTTACAAAATTTTTGACACTTTGACGCAAGGTGACAGCTGTCATTTCGCGACCCATTTAAGGACAAAAGTAAATTAGTCAATACAAATAAAATATTAAAAAAAGTAATATATTAACAATTCAAACTGTGAATTTCAATTAGTGTACGTTTGGACATGAGGTCAAAGAGCAGTGCATAATGTTGTTATTGATTCGAATGCAATTTTCGGTTCGCATTGAAAAGCTCTCTCACAAAGCGACAAAGTTAAAAATATTTCAAACTTCAAAAAACAAATTAAATAGTTATACAACGTGTTATTAACTTAATCCGAGCGCACATAATTAAAATGTAGCGCTCGTAAATCGTATGAGTTTATTTCCGCAGTTGAAAGGTTGTCCAATTAAAATAATTTCCATTAAATGCAAATCGAATTGTTGATGCAAACATTACATAAGCAGAGAATATATATATAAATAGATATAAAGAGATCATTATTTAATGAAATTTAAAATGGTAAATATATAAGCGGCGATAAATTGCGTGAGTATGTAACAGATTTAGGAATAGTTTGGACGGTGCATGGGGCAATTGCAGTGCCAGGCCCGTGCATGTTTTTAGTAAACCGAAATATAAATATTTGCCGTGAAAATAGATTTCTGCGCGAAGATGTTTTCGCTGGCTCTGAGAGACGGAAGATTCTGTTTACGAGAATATGCGTTTATATCGAATTCTTATGTAAATCTTTGGAATTAGTTAGAATGGGTGGGGAGGGCGTTTCTTTAATAAATTCTTCTTGACCCATAAAATACGGCCGTCCCCATTCGAGAGAGCGCTTATATCTTACGACCATTATTGCTACACCGATTTCAAGACTGAAAGTTTAGAAAATTATGTAAAGTTTCATTACTCAGTAACAAAAAAAAAACATAAATTACGCTTTCAGTAGATACAAAAACAATTTTCCATTCATATTATTAGATTCGTGCAGTTTTATACTTCTTTTTCAGAAACTGTGTAAAAAGTAGTTGGCACGTTTCGACCATAAATTTCGTTTGTTATTCCATTTTTTTTGTTGTTTTTTTTAAAACTACATAATAATAACAAGCAGAAAATGTCATTGGTAAGCAATTATTTGCGTTTTACATAAGTTTCGCGCTCCGTTGCTCGTTAAGTGCAACCGGTCCGTTAACTAAGGTAATGGCTCGTTAAATTTCGTTTTCGGTTACAGCATCATGATTTAGAATTTTCAATGAAATTTAACCTCAATGTCAGAATGTATACATTATTAGTTAAATTAAGACGTTTATGCATTTGTTTTTATAATTTGGACCATAAGACGTAAATTTTATTAAAAAGATTTAACGAAACAATTAAATTATAGAAATTTAACGAACAAATTAATGATTAAATCAAATTAGAAAAAAAAACTTGATAATTTTATAACTTTAGCAAATCTTAATATAGAACCGTTTTCCATTTTAACATTGAATGATTTTGTTTACTAAGTTTTATATTACTAATACTAATGAGGCTGATTTGTATTCATTTAGAAAAATTTAGTTATAATTTTCTAGTAAATTTGAATGCGTTAAAAAAATGGCATTGAATTGTCCACTTTTCACTATATACGATAAGCATTTAATGTAAGATATGAGGCAATGTCACCGACGGAGTTTCTTATTTACATAAACAAGAGAATGCGAAGGCACTTGAAGTCGCTATTAATAGAACAGAACAAAAAGAAAAACAGATGTTCGAGCAGAAATAATATGTGCGGAGGAAAAATTAAAAAAAAGAGACTTACTTCGCAATTTTCTCCGTCGCATCTGTTGGCCAAGTCGTGGATATTCTGCGAGAGCAATTGGTCTTCCTGGTAGAGCGCCCTGCGAGCATTGTCGTACACCTCCCTGCAGGTCCTCCTAATGTCAAACACGTACTTCTTGCCTAAAGAAGAGTCCTCATTGAAGATGGACACGATGGTGCCCTTCAGATCTCTGATGAATTGGTCGGTGACGGCGCTGCGTACTGTCTCGCAGCTGTAGAAGGCGTGCTTCTCGGTGATGGACCGGTAGAGGCTGCTCGCAACGTGGTTCGTATCGAATTTAGTCTCGAGGATGGTGACTTCGCCCTCTTGGCCCGTGTACTCCAGCCGGAACATCCGCTTGTGCGAGGAGGCGCTCTGGATGGCCGTGAACGGGATGACCTGGTTGTTCTTGTCGTTCTCGTAGACGGTGATGCCGTGCGGCCCCACGCCCAAGACGCTACCAGTCGGTTTGCTCTGGAAGATCTCCTGGCCGAAGCCCTCGAGAGTCTCGACTTCCTTCAGCAGCCAGTACTCAGCCGTCGACGCCTTCATGTCCTTGCAGTTCTTGTGATGCGCGATGACGCGTTGCACCAAATCCTGCGGCTTATCGTCCGGCTCCAGCTTTGTTATCGTCGAGGTCTGGTTGTAGTTGGCCACATGCAAGGGATCGTAATCGCCGGTCTCCACTTGAGCTATCAACGCTCTCAGCTTCGCTACCGTATCCCAGTCAGACGCTATTAAGCGTTTCTCGATCAGATCCAATCTGGCATGCAGATAGAAATGATGCCTGCAAAAAGAAAACATAAGAATGAAAACACGGAATTAGATTACATCTAACGTCTATTCGCTGTAACACCTATCGATTCATACTTGCCAGCACAGGCTTACACATCTACCACATCTCCAACATCTGGCAGCTTAAAAGCTCTATGCAAAAAGCCGCAAGGAATACATTGTTTCTACTCTAAGCTACTTGATTCCTTGTTACCAAAGCATATTACTACTACCAACCGTTATGCAATTTGCCCTATAATTACACCGCCTACTTCAATCAATTTAATTATAGCACAACTAATTAACATTTCAATCCATACATTTATCAATTATCATAGTATATGATTCTTTAAATACATTATGTTTCAAAACGAATGAAATTTGATTTGGTCGATGTCCGGATTATTCCAATGATTATTATTTTGTTGTTATTGAATGCTAATGCAGGTGCATATCATTATTAAAAACAATAACATAAGCTGAATGCCAGCTATTTTAAGAAAGCCTTGATCTTTCAATTTTGTTTTAAAACAAAAACAACAACGAAAAGACAAACATTATTGCAACTGCATTATTTACTTAACTAAATGAAACTTAGAAGAAGAAGACTTAACAAAAACAAAACAATTAAAGTAGTCTATGAAGGATAAAAAATGTTATTGGTAGAAGATTTTGTAATTTTCAGTGCTAAAAGAAAATCTGTAAATCGCGTTGTGGTAATTCAATTTTACGATATCGCTGACCTCCGAGAAATCGAAAACCTCTTTGTAGGGCAATTCGCTACATTTTATTGATATTGAGTTCCAAATGTTCGTTCGCACACGTGCTGCAAATAGTTCTGCAGGACGGCCACTTTCAAGGGCTTTCTGCATGAGGAGGAGAAAAAAAATTAAAGAGAATTTGAAGCAAAATACGGTTTTAGTCTTAGAAAAACCTTTTCAATAAAAATAAATTGTTGTATTTTTCCTTTTCATTCCCAATTGATTGATTCATTTCAATGTCTTTATTTGTCTCGAATTTCGGATTTTAGTGTCACATGCGACAGATATTCATGAGCATCATAATCTATCTGCATTTGGTAATACTGTCAAATTGACGGATGTGTTGTAAATTATTATTGAAAGCAAATTAATGGAAACTATATAAAGTTTGATTTAAATTATTATCAAATATTGCGTAATAATACGTCATGTGCGTTATCTCCATGACAACCACATTGTTTCGAAAATACTTGTACAATTTACTTATCATATAACTTTGTTGTTAACCTATTCTCCATATTACCTAAGTATGACATATTACTTGGCAAGTATCACGTATCACCATAATAGTAACTTTAATGTTAAACGTTTCTTCACAATGACATTTGGGCTCAATAGTGATTTAATTCATTGCAAGAAGCGCTTAGTCTCCATGACAACCAAGTTATTTTTAAATGACTTGTACTATTTACTTGGCAAGTATTGCGTATCACCTTAATACAAACTTTAATGTTAACCGTTTCCCCGGTTTAGTTAATCATGGAATAATGTTATTTGGACTGTATTGAGATTCAAGCAAATGGCGATTGTGTAAGTGCACTGAATGTTTAATGCGAAACAAACATTGAGTTAAACTATTAGATAATAATTTAGTTGACCCAAATCCGCCTACACTTTAGCAGATACATCTGAAGCATGTACGCATTTAAATGTAGTAAATTATTCATATGCACACTTATAACTAATTAATAAAAGTTAATGTAGATAACAAATGTTGAAAAAATAATTTTGGAAATAGTTTTGATTGTATATTTAATGGAAACTGAATAAATACTTCAATAAATTTCAAACAGTGTAGATTATCGAATCAAAGAATGTGAGCTATGTGCATCGATCGAAACGAGAAATAAAACGTGTGTGTATGTGTTGAGGGTGGAGGAACAAACAAACAAACGTTTCGTATTTACGTTATGGCAGTGGCAATAAATTCCATCCGCACTCTTGATTAAAACAAGTTCGCGAGTTCAGAAATAAATGTGCCGCTTATTTTTGTTTGTATCGATCCAGAAATCCACTCCCGTAAATGCCATTCTCCTCCTCCTCCTCCGACGGCCATTATCGAAACGACAATTAAAAAAGAAGCACCGCGAAAATAGATTCTCGCATTGCCATTGTCACTTTGTTACAAATTATCTGCATCATTTTCGATAACAAAATTCAATTACGAAATAAAACTCGTAGAACAAAAGAAAAAGAGAACGATTCGCTTTGTGACTCACGAATAAATAATAATCAATGGAATCAAATTAATTGTGTCTTTTTTGTTCGTAAATGAAGTTCGGATTTATCCTTTTGTTAATAAATAAACTGTTGTAACATCAAGAGACTTAGAAACCATGCAAATTTCGTTGGATCCATCGAAGGTTTCTTTTTAATCTTTTGTTACTCTCGTCCGCTTCTTGTTCGTTTCCGAACTATAGTAATTACGTAATTTGATAAATGCTCGCTGCACGAGACACAGAGCTCGAATGCTGGGAATCATTTAGCGGCGGCCGAGATAATTTTAAATTAAATTATACTTCATTATGAATGTAAATTGGATAAATGCTTTATGATATTGCTCCCACCTTCCCCGTGATAAATCACAGCGACATGGAATGAAACTGAGCGAGTAACGAAATAATAACACGACATCGACGGACTCGGAACAAAAAACAAAAAAAAACACACATGGCGAACAATGTATAAACGATCGCGCAATCATTGAAATTTATCGCTTCAATTAAACCAGTTCACATATACAAATATATAATTTACTTTATTTTTATTTGCTTTATGGAATAATCATAAATATGTAGGAGTTTTCCGTCGTTCTCGTATTTAATCATTGCTGATTTAAGTTATTAGTAATAATTCTATAGTTTGAGCTATAAAATACTGATTTTTGACTCGCGTAATTGTCATTTTTTTTTGAATGATTATGCATGCAACTGTTACCTAAACAAATAATGTTGCCTACAACAATCCATTTTTTCAAATTTATCGCTCAATTTGGATTGTTGAAATTTTATAAAGCACATTTGATATACATTATAGAAGTGATTTATACGACACAAACAAATTACTTTTGAGATATTACTATGATATTTTTCTTTTAGTTTAAAACTAAATTATTTGGTTTATCATGTTATCAAAGTGAGCCTCGTTTATAAAAGTTGAGACTCGACTTTAGAAGTTTGACATTTCATTGATCAGCTGCAAATTCGATATTTCTTGCAAAGATGTACTCAATTATCTTTTTTTGTAGAATCACGTAAGTAAAGTTAATTTTCTGCATGTATTCTCAAAAAACTCAGCGAAATTAGTAAATGAAAATTAAATCCCTCGACCATAAAATTTTGACATTTCATTGACAGATTATCAGATACAAATTTAAATTTATTATGTTTATGTTTTTTGAAAACTCAGAGAAATCAAATGTAAATTATGAACAATTTGCAATCAATGATATTTAAATCTTGAAAAACAACATTATTTGCAAAATTGTCATGTTCGGAAGCGAAGAGTCACGATTAGAATATTGCCACGTGTACATAAACAAATAATATTGCGATGCATGCGAATCCTTTTTTTTTTTCGCGTCGCCTTTTAAATATTAACTGGGACTTTATGGACTTGAATATAAATTGCTTAATTATTTGTGTACATCGTGTGTTTCGTTGATGAGGCCGCATCGAAGCCACACTAACTATTAATTAAAATAAACGAGACGAAATGTTGTGGCCTGTAAGAAAGAAACGCAGACCAATAAACAAAATAAAAGTCATCTTCACTCATGACAACAACACAGACATATAATTAATATTTATTAAAAAGTTGTTAAATTTTATTGTTAATAATTGATTGAAATAATTTATATGAATGTCAAATATATGTTTAAAAAATCAGCGTTTCTCAACTATTTTATATATTTGCTGTCTGTATATAATTGCTAACAGTTTTCCTCGATTTGACAAATGTCAAATGTCATTTTTCGATCCATTAAAAAAATTACGAGATTATAAAATTTCGTCACAAGCATAAGTTTCAATTTGTATGCTTTAATTTATATGTACTTGTATGTATATGTCTTTTGTTGGACTTATTTAATGCGGTTTTATTACTATTTTTATTTTATGTACTTGCTATGTAGAATTACTTAATATGAAATACAAGTTGCTTAACGGTAGTAATCTTCGTCGGTATTTTAGGAGGTTAACTGACCACAATTTGGTATGACAAATATCACGTAACCTTGGACAGCAATTACCAAGGTTACACGTAGAAGAATAAACAAATAAAGTTAATTCTTAAGTAAACAAATGGTTTACCTCGTCGTCTCCTGGAGGAGCAGGTGCGGGGGAACCCAGAATTTGACGCGCAACGCAAAACGCAGCGAATTGTGGATGGGCACCTGCTTATCGATGGAATTCCTCAGGTTAAGCCAAAGCTCTTCGCCCTTGCTCACGTACTTCAGGCCGAAGTAGTCGGACTCCTTCGATATACCAAGTTGTTCGCAAACCTGAAAACAAAACAAAAAACAAATTGAAAATCGTAAACAAACAAATGATGCATTTTCCGTTTTAATTAAACTTAATGAATGCGATTATACGAAGAAATTCCGGTAGCGTTTTATGTAGATGGTTTGCACCTTCAAGTTCGTCGCTCGAGCGTAATAAAAATGCCTGAATTCGAAATACTCGAAAACAAAGTATGGAAGTGTAAATAAGGGATGGATTTCCGAGGGTCGCGTAATGAACTTAGACTTCCTCCGACGCCCTCTGTATTGGATTTCCTTAACCCATGGAGGAGGAGAAGAAGGAGGGATTGCAACTATTCTATTTAATTAGAGAGCGGCGTGCGGAATTTACGAGCTCTTTGTACCATCGATACTAACAAAGGGTCGAAAGAAGAGTAATTGGTTTTGATTAACGTAAAGCAATCCAAATCTCTATTTTGCCTCTTTTTATTTTATTTGTTTGCGTCCAAATTGCAAAGAGACTGGCGGTGCTTTAAAGCTCGAGACAATAATAATAAATTCCCCGTTTTTATTATGCATGGACTGCTTAGTGACACGGAGAGATAGAAAGAGAGAAGCTTGGAGTTTCTTAAACAAATAGCAGAAAATGTCTTTGGCGTAGAAGTTGTGTAAAGTTCTTAAGTTTCTCGCACATAAACAAGAAGCGAGCATCGTAACTTGCGCGGCCCCCTTGGATTTATTCAAATCTCAATAAATATTTGACTAGCAGCTTATTATTTATACAGTCTTCCCCTTTCTTAGATAGACTTGATTAAAGCCGTTATTGCCTAACGATGAGATTCACTAATTAGTCGACGCCACATTTGGGGCTGACTTCCAATCTTTCTTCTTCTTCCTCATTCAACGGATTTCTTGGTGCGGAAGAAGTGAAATGTATTGACGAGAATTAGATCTACGGACCCATTTCTCACAGGATTGACACGGGTTACGGATAGGAGCCCAATTTTATGGGTGGTTTATTCAATAAGGAAACTTTTTCTTATTCTCTCCCCCCCGATAGGTATCAGCTTGTTAAGATCATTCTATCCGATAATTACTTTTCACTTTCCATCATTCATTCCAGGAAGTTATTGTTATTATTATTAATGTTATACAATTTCTTTATTTTCTTTTTTTTGTTAGTTAACATGCGAGGAGGAAAGTGCAGCACTTTCTCAGAAGGTAAATGCATTTTGAACCATGACCTAAGATACTCGTATCTGGTAGTTGAGAGAAATGCGTAATTTTCTAATGGAAAATATTGGATAAACATATAATCTTTAAGTTCCAAAGTTTCTTGCTAAACAAGATTGAACGATTCCGTGAACCGAGAACTTTAAAACCACACAAAGAGATAATTTTAAACTCTACTATAGTAAATCTGCATTGTGTGAAGTGTTGTATAATGAAACTGCTCAAAACATTAAAGAAGTACTCTTAATGCATGTTTCATCACAACTAAAATCGAAAGAGAAGCCGCAAAACCGAACCGCTCTAAACTTTAATAATTACTTTATTATTGAGATTTTTATATACTATTTTAGAAATTCAACTAAATATTGATGGATATTTGAACAATTTTATCTTATTATTGAATTACAAGTTGTAATTATATTAAGAAGTAAGATTAATTCACCAGTTCATCCCTTTGACAGATAATGACAGCTGTCATTTCGTGATACAACATCTTTGTTTCTAGTTGTACTGCGACTCAATTGCTAAGAGTAATTCAAGAATTCCTCGCTTTGACACAAGGTGACAGCTGTCATTTCACGATTCGACATATTTATTTGGCAGTTGTGCTGTAACTCAATTGCTAAGAGTATTCCAAGTTTTGACATTAAATGACAGCTGTCATTTTACGATTTAACGTATTTATTTGTAGTTGTACTGCAACTCAATTGCTGACAGTACTTCACCAGATCTCCATTTGACACAATGTGACAGCTGTCATTAAAAATGTAACGCTATGCATCGTTTGGGGAACGCTGGCCTGTATAAAAATATACTTCCAAAATATTAACTTTTTATATTTCTTGTTGATTTATAAGTGATTGACATAACAAAATATATAATATAAACATTTATAAATGGATCTTTCCGAATTGATTGAATGTCCTCTGCCCCGACATCTATTATCGCATCATTATTACTTATCCGCTGACGAAATGTTATATAAACATTGCAATTATGCAGCGATAAAGAGACGTGTAAACAAATTATTTAATAATAATAAAAACTGCGTACTTGTTGATCGTACTTAAAAAAAAGAAGTTACATTAATTTATTTATTGGACGCGCCAATAACATATCTGCAATGTTCCTTGAAAATTACTCATAACACTGATATGATAATATAAAAAAATATCATAACATTAGCAGCCAATGAAGATAATGCAAGAATTCATATTTTTATGCTAATTATAGATTTAGTGTCCAGCTTTATGTGTTTACCACCAATTTGTCAATGCACAAAGATTTATACACAATTAATCTGCGTTATAATTACTTTTACGATAAGTTACAATTACGTTTAAAGTATTTGTTATCGAGGAGAATTTGCGATGTAAACGGTTCGCGAAATTGTTTATTGCTAAGACGCATAACTTAATTCAATTAGTCTGGTTTCAAACAGTCCGGGATATTGTCGGAATCGATTATCCGCACTACGCGAGGTATTGCTGTACAACGAGAGAAGTTGACCTGAAGATTTACGGTGATTTAGATCCTATTATAGCAATTACCAAACGCCGTCACAAGATGATGAGGATAAGCACGTTTGTAGTTTCTTTGAACTGATTCAGGTCGACTGCAGAAGAAATCGATTATACTTAAGACTGAGTTGACGGAGGAAATAATCCTTAATCCCACGGACTTAATGAAATCATCCCCTTTTTAATTAAAAACTGGAATAACTTCATTTCAATTCATTTTGCTATACATATTTCCAATTAAAAAAATCGCACTTAATTAAATTATTTTTATTGATCAAACTCGAAAAAAAAAACTTTCGATTAGATATGAAAAGAAACTAACTTTTAAATTATGTGGTATCATAATAATTTCCAATTAATAACAAATGATCAATACACAAGCTGCAGTATTTAATTGGATGATGCATGTTAATTAGCTCATCCACGTCCATGCAACTGTAATTTTAATCATGCATTGTGTTTAATAAACCCAATGGTAATGCAATTGCGGATTTCGAACGTAATTATTAATTAGCCAGACATTGAATTACGCCGAAAATATTGAGCCGCGTGACTCGGCTGCAATGTTGCAGTGATGCGAGTAAAATATTGTACGTTATACAAATGAATTGAAAACTGGATTGATCAAAATGTAACAATGAAAGATACTGCTGTGTGTTTCCAATAGAAATCAAATTGAAATTGCTCAAAAAAGAGTTTATTATAGGTTTTACGCTGAATAACAACTTGAAAGTACCGGTTTTGGAATTACGAATTAACCGGTTTTTGTGTTAAAAAATATAACTATGAAATATTTATTTACCCATGAAGAAGAAAAAAATTTCCAAAAATAACCGGTTTTTTTATATAAGAAAATAAAATGTACTGTATACAGAATCAATTACAAACTTATGCAACTTATTTTTCTTAATGATTTCAAATCCAAATAAATAATTAACTGAAGCATTTTAATTCTAGTATCTAAACCCAATTTAATAACCGGTATTAAATTGATAAAAAATTGGTTTAAAAAAAAGGCAAAAAAAAACAAAGTTTACTAGATGTTTGTTTAATTTTATAACATTTTATCGTATTATTTTCTTTTGTTTAAAAACAAAGGACCTCTAGATATAATTCGAAAACTCTCTGTGGATATTATGTACATTTTTTGTTTGTTTGCGTCGCTTCAGTTCAAAATTTCATTTCCGCCGAATTAATTAATGAATACCAACTGAAATGATGGAGCAGTGTTTTGTATATATATATTCTCGGACCCTTTTGTGATGTCCGCCTGAAAACGGGATCTTTGTTGCAGATGACAAATCGCGCATCGATTGTCCGCGAATTATGGTCATTCCAGACAAGATAATCCTCGTTGATTGAATGGATTAAACAAAAGCTTTGTTTGTTCATTTGTTTTGTATTGCATTCAATCGCAGATCTCTCTGAATAACAATTGTTGATAAGTTCAAGTGCGAATCGATAATGCGAATGAATAAATATGTTTGTTTGTTTCAATATAATTACTGAATAAAATTTCTCGTTTTTTTTTTTGATAATTATATTGAAAAACGTAATACAAATGATTTAAATTAATTATTGAAGTTTGTTAAGGAAAACCTGTCATGAACACGAGACGTATGCAATTTTATTATCAGCGGGGTTACTTGCTCCATTAAAGATGATGATCAAGGATGCTGCGGCCTTTAACGAATAGATCAAATGAAACTTGCAGGTGACATGGATTCAGTCACGTAGCCAACAGTAAATATATCGTGTGTATTTCCTTCTTCAATATTTATTTTTTATTTTTATCGAAAAGTCGTCCCACATATTTCGAGATTTTCCAACCGCAACAGTAACGTAAAGAAATAAAGGATGAGGAGAGAACAAAATTGGGTCGGAGATAAGTCGTCGTTTAGGCAAACATTTCGAACTTCACGCATGTATATTTATGTGTATGTTTGTATGAAACCCCCGAACGAACGTTTCCATATCGAAGATGACAAGAGAACGAACCGTTACATTTCTTCCATCCGATTACTCCGGGACTCATGCACGGAGCACAGAAGCGATAAGGAGTTTTGTGAAGGAAATATAAAGTTACGGGGATTACCGGATGTAGTATTGGCTCTCTCGGACCTTTAAATCCACCAGCTTCGCATGGAATCAAAATTTCTCTTTTTTTTTTATTAGTGATGTCAAATTCAATAATATTGAATTTGCTAACTTACATAAAAGATATTCTGTAATTCTGTTGATTCCCATTCTGTTTTTTCTCAAAACTTTAACCAGAAAATTGAAATATGT